CCGGGGTCCGGCAGCCGTGAGCCTGAGATGCGGTCAGGGAGGGAAGCGTCGGGAACATACGGGTGTTGCAGGCAGAGCAGGGTCAGAGAAGAGGGCGAGAGACGGCAACTGAGTCAGAGGGGAGCGAGGTTAGGTGACCAGAAAGGCGACTTTATCGTGGGACAACCAACGTGCACTAGAGGTACGATTACGCTTCCAACCAACAAACAGAGACGCGTTTGCGCGACATTCACCCCAGACTCTTTTGACAACTTTGACAACTTTGATTCACAGCCAGAGAAGAGAGAAGCAAAGACACAGAGAGAGAGACAGAGAGAGACAGAGAGACAGAGAGAGAGACAGAGACAGAGAGAGGCACACACACACACAGAGAGAGCTCTTACAAAGTGTGATATCCAGTACACTATCTCATACGGTCCTCAACAACAACCAAACACACACACACACACACACACACACACACACAGACGCACTTTCCGCCGGCGCCTGCTTCGCCATCTCTCACTTGGCACGACGTGGGCGTGCGGTGACCTTGGTTCGGGGCTTGTGTTAAGCATGTGCATGCTGGTGTAGGACAGACGCAGAGTGTGAGCATTGGTATTTTACTTGATCGACGTGGAGAGGGCCGACGTCTGGCGGACGTTGCAGCATGCCTGCGGGCGCTCGAGGCACGCGCCGCGGCGCGAGCACCATGGGTGCAGGCGCCGGTGCCGTGGCCGAGACCATCCAGGTGGCCGTGCGTGTTCGACCGTTTAATGCGCGTGAGCTAGCTGGTGCCCACGCCTGCGTCGTCTCCATGCAAGACAACGTGACGACGGTCGACACGAGCGCAGGACCCCGACCCTTTGGCTTTGATCGCTGTTATTGGAGCCATGATAACTTTGCCGAGAGCGATGACGGCGTCCTCATTCCCGCCTCTGATTCCAGCCCATACGCCTCCCAACAGCATATCTTTGAAGACCTCGGTGCCACGCTGGTGACCAACGTTCTAGCCGGCTACAATGCTTGCGCCATGGCCTATGGCCAGACATCAGCCGGCAAGTCCTACACCATGATTGGCACCCCCACCAACCCAGGCTTGGTGCCGCGCCTTTGCGCTGCGCTCTTTGCTGCCCCAGTCCCAAACAAAGTCCAACGCCAAGTAACCCTCAGCATGCTGGAAATATACAACGAGCAGATCAACGACTTACTCGCCTCCTCAACCGCCCTCCACGAGTGCCGCGTACGCCAGCACCCCAAGCAGGGCTTTTTTGTCGAAGGCCTCACCCGGGTGCCCGTCAATGATCATGCTGATGTCCAGGCCCGCATGCAGGTTGGCACCAAACTGCGCACCACAGCCGCCACCAACATGAACAAGACCTCGAGCCGCTCCCACATGGTTGTCACTCTTCACGTCAAACAGGTGCGTGGCCCCCGGGCAGTATGGCAGGCTTCTCCATGTGCTCCTGTCAGCTCGACAGCCCAGCTCTGGTCTCTGCCCCGCCATTCGCCTGTCTCGCTTTTTTTTTTTCTTACCGTCCCGCCGTCACTTCCCCCTCCTGCTCTCACACGCATGCCCCTGCGGCTGTTGGCTCATCCACTTGCAGACTCAGGTGAATGGCAAGGGGGAAAGCACTACCAAAACCAGCGACATTCATCTGGTTGACCTTGCCGGCAGCGAGCGAACCGACCTGGCAGGCACCAGCGATCAGCGTTTCAAAGAAGGCCTAGCCATCAATCAATCCCTCTCCAACTTGGGTAGGTCCTTTGTCTCCAAACCCGTCGCCTTGCCAACGTACACACACACACACACACACACACACACACACACACACACACACACACACACACACACACACACACACACAAGAGTCAAAAAATAAAAAAAAAGGGGGGGTCTGCCACATCTATCGCTGCCGTGCCCCTGAACACGAAACACGCCTCATTCTTGCGCGTGTGCAGGCAACGTTATCGCTGCCCTTGCTGATCAGGCAACCACGATCCCATACCGCAACTCGGTTTTGACCAAGCTTCTGTCCAACGCGCTGGGTGGCAACTCGCGCACCATGATGATTGCCAACATCTCGCCGTCCCCTCTCAACCTGGAGGAGACCTTGTCGACGCTCCGCTTTGCTGATCGCGCCAAGCGCATCAAATGCAAGGCCGTGGTCAATGAAAGCCCCACGGACAAACTGATCCGGGAACTCAAGGAGGAAAACCAGCGTCTCTTGGACATGCTCAAAGCGGCCGGGAGCGATGCCGATTCGGATGCCCTGCGCGCCGACAAGGCCGAGGTATCCCGCAATTTGGCCGACCTCGAACAAGCCTGGACCACCCGCATTGCATCGGCTCAACAACAGTGGCAACAGCAAGGGGCAGATCAAGAGGCCGATGCCACCCTGGAGCAGCACCCACACCTCAGCAATATCAACCCAGACCCTCAGCTCACGCACGTTGTCAAGCATATTCTGCTGCCCGGGTCTACACCCGTCGGCAAGGCCATCGATGCCACTCAGTACCCCAACAACATTTACCTGCAGGGACCCACTATTGCGGCTGAGCACGGCATGTTTGTGCGAGAGGATTTGCACGTGTTCCTGGATCCCAGCGTTGGCGCCACCACTCACGTCAACGGCCAACTCCTGACCCAGCGTCGGCGCTTGGCCCACCTCGATCGCATCATCTTCAGTCCCACCCACTGCTTTGTTTTCATCGAGCCGCGCGGCCACGACATGAGTCACCAAGACTCGGCAGCTGCTGTCAATCTGGATTCCATCGACTATGAATACATGCAGCTTGAGCTGGCTGCCGCCCAGGGTATGGGAGATATGCTGGTGGGTCGCAGCCCCTCAACCCTCTCCATGACGCCAGAGGCACAGCAGCTGCGTCAGGCGCTTCTGCAGACCGCACCCCTCATCACGCAGGCCAAAGCCATCAGTGTGGAAGTGGGACTGCCCACCCAATTTGAAATGTTTGTGCGCGCCGGCAAGGCCCACGCGCTGACTGATAGCAGCAAAGAGGTCATGATACAGGTCAGTATGCACAGCATGGACAGGAGTACCCTGTGTATCCCATGTGGATCACGAGTTGTTGGGCACCCAGCGCGGTGCACGACCTAAGCACATTCACATGCCCGGTGATATTTGCTCCCTCACTTGGTGCCGTTTTGTTGTTGTTGTTGTTGTCGGGATTCAGGTGACCAATATGCAGACGCTTCACACATGGCACTGGACAGCCGACGTGTTTGAGGAGCGTTTCTACGTGATGCAAGACATTTACAACGCTCACCAAGCTGGAGACGCCGACACAGTTCGGGCCACCTTGGAGAAGAACAACCCCTTTGTTGATACGCTCGAACCGGTGCGCCTGTGTTCCTTTGGCACGTGTTTAGATGAAACTTGGACCCTTGGCTGACCTTCGAATTCGGGCCCTGCGTTACCCCTCTTGCGCGTCTGTGCTGTAGGTATTTTTGGGCAGCGCGCACGTCTTCCTGCAACCCCTAGCCTACGGCATTGACATTGAAGAGCGCCTCCCCGTGAGCAACTACCGGGGCGTGACTGTGGGCGAGCTGGAAATGCACGTCGCCTTGTGCAGTGCAAAGGGAGTGCCCAACGAAGGTTTTGAACATGTGCGGGATCCATCGGATCTCTTGGAAGGGCGAATGGATATCATGGTGAAGATAAAGCACGCCGAGCGCGTGGACTGGCTCAATGAAGACCCCTCGCGTGGCGTGCTCTGTCGCTTCCGCTTCTATACGGATGCCCGGTTTCGTGAGACGCGCATCGTACACAACAAGCAGCCGGCCGTTTTCAAGTATCACAAGCAGTTCACGCTGCCCAAGGCCACGCAAAATCTCTTGAATTACTTGCAAACCAATGCCTTGGTAATTGAATTGTGGGGAGCTCAGGGCCAGGGCACTCCTAGCACGCCAGGCCGGGGAGCCTCGGCCCGCAGCCCCCAAGCCCCGCCCTTGTCGCCGCCATCGGACTCTCGGGCAACGGATGAAGAACTGGATAAGATAGTGGCCCACTCGGCCTGGACCGAGGAGCGGCGGCGCTTGCAGGACACAATTCACAAGCAACAACAAGAGATTGACTTTCTTCACATTGAGAAGAGCGTCCTGGTTCGGGTACGATCCGTGCCTCCCATCAATGCACATCCCATGTTTGACCTCTGCGTCATCCGTCTTCTCGTAGGCTTGCCGCTTTGTCGTGTTCTTGTGCGTGTGTCTGTGCCTCTGTCTCTGTCTCTGTTTCTCCGTGTCTCCGTGTCTTCGCGTTCCTCTTCTTTTTCCTTTTTTTTTTTCCTTTTTTTTTTTTCCTTTCTTTCTTTCATATTGTGCTCGAACATAGGAAGCAACCCGGGCAAACAGTACGCTACGCTCCACGCTTGGCGAGGATCTCAACGACCTAGGCGACTATGACATTGATCTGACCGAGGCAGCCACGGCGTTTGTGCAGGCCGAACGGCGCCTCTTTGCTCGTCGCCAATCCCTAACAGGGCAGGTATGCAACAGAGCAGTTGCATCTTTTGCCGTGCCATGGTATTGGCGCACGTCGTAGATCTCATCGGTGTTTGCTTGCTCGTGCATGGGCAGGAACAAAACGGGAGTTTGCGCACCAGCGTCGAAAATCTGCATCGAGCGCATCGTGAGGCTGGCCAGCGTCTGATGGACATGGTGCAGGCGGCTCTGAAGCGCGCTGAGGCGAGCCTCTCATCGTGACTGTAAACATGGTTTTGCAGCTTTGTAGTCCCGCCATGCCTGCTCGCGTGCTATCTCTCCGGACTTGATTCATTCCTTTGGCACAGCTGTCAAGCATGCCTCCTTTTTATGATAACATCAACATTATATACTTATTTTCATGATCAAAGTTGCCTTACAGCCGTTTCAGCCGTCATGACATGATAATTAATCTAATTGACACGTGAATCAATTCATAGCCGCTCAACACCACTGCAACACCACTCGGACGCTCCAGTACTCAGCTTGATAGGGTGCCCATATCCTTCACACAGACCATGGTCGCACGCACAGCGCACTCTGGGACTAGGTTCGACATTTGGATGGCGGGACCCATTGATGATCGTTGACAGGTGAAATCAAACTGGGTCCTATACCGTCAAATGAGGGGTCCTGTCGGCCTCATTCTCACTCTCGTCCTCCTGCTCATCGAGAGGTTCTTGATCAGACTGCGGCCCTGAACCGAGCTGATTGGTGCACACGGTACCAAGGCCGCGGCAAACTTGATTCTGAAATACGAAGCGTGCACCAGGCTAACATGGACAAGCACACCACCCAGCGTCATGAGAGCATGCTGGCTGCCGTTGATCAGCGTATCGAGAGCTGACGCCAAGGGAGAACCGCGAACAGTGCATGGTGGGTGTGTACACTCGTACCAAGACGACCTCTGGTCGACACACCCAAGTCAGGGTGGCAGTGGTGGTATCCTCCTCATGTTCCAGTGGGCCGTGCAGCTGCGTCAGACGGCAATGTTGCCTCACGCTTCCCAGGTACACGCACACCTGAACGGATGCCCAATGGGTGTGAGTCATTGAGGTCATGTGGAAAGCCGCCAGCGATTGTCGTGCCCGCACCTCGGTGCCTTCTGTGAGCGACGCCTCGGCTTTGGTGAGCATCAAGGATGCCTCAAAGCTGGTGCAAACGGATACTTGATCCTATCCAGGAGCAGGGGCCCGCATCAACACGTTATTGAACATGAACAAACACACACCCGCACATGCATAATGGGAACGCTGAAAACGGTTGGAAAACCAGGAACAACCACGATACCGGATCTTGCACAAGCACTTGGCCGCGCCGCGCCAAAGAGGTGGCAACACCTGCCAACGCAAAGGTGGCAACATCACCGGCCTACAACGATCACAATGCCCGCGAGAACCACGTGCCGACCGTGCACAGCGAAAGCAGCGGTGAGATAAAAGTCAGGATGTTGAAAGCATGTTTAGCAACGTCTGCCTGCGAGCTTTTGCGAGGCCAACCTCGACAGCCTTGACAGGGGTGCGGTGGCGCTGTACGTCCGTCACGGTCACGGGAGCAAAGCAGCCGCTGTCATCGGGGCCTAAAAAGAGGAGGTCCCCGACTTGAACACGGCCTTGAATGAGCTCACCACCCACCACCAGGCCCGTGTCCGGAACATCAAAAGTCTCTTGGACGTGGCAGAGAGGATCGGCCAGACGCTGACGAGCGTGGCGTTTGCCGCTATCCGTGGGCAACATGTTCAGCATATGCTTGAGGTGGTCCAGATTCTGGCCGGTGACACAAGACAGTAAAAGAATGGGGATGATGTTTCTACACAGCCGTCATAGCAGCTCAAATGATGAAACAGGCACAACTTCAAAGCAGCATCCGAGAGCACGATACGGGGCATTGAGGGCCGGGCATGGCACAAGGGTAATCGCCTACCGTGTGTCCCCGTTGCGCGCGGCGCTCATCACGTCATCGCGATTGCGAATCAAAAAGGGGACCCGCTTGCAAGTCGGGGCCTTGATGGCTGTTGCAATCTACGCAGTGTCGGTATGATCGCACCCCGGTAGTGGCGGTGGAGGGCAGCGTGGTGAGGGGGAAACGGTGTTTGAGCTCGTGATAGAACAGGGATGGCAGAACACTTGATCTGTCATCACATTCAAACCTCGGTTAGGGTGGCCTTAAGCTGCACTTTGGAGCTCTGGTCAATCTTTGTGACCAGCACAATCATGCGGCACTCGAGAGCACACGCCACAGCCAGATGCTCCTAGACGACGAAGAAGCAGTGAGAGGGCCATCAACATTATCATGGCTGATTGGAGGAAAAGCCCAGCATCATTCGACTGCATGACTGGAATCCGATTTTGCCTCAACGGAAGAAGGTCCGAAAAAAAAAAAAAAAAGCACGAGCGAATTTGGAAGCATATGATGACGAGGCAGAGGGTTAGAGCAAAGAAGCAAGTCTTGGTACCTTGGCGCGAGGGGTCATGCCATGGTTGGCAGCGACAACGAGAACAACGTAATCCAGCGAGGGGTCTGCGAGGGCGCGCATGGCAGTCTTTTCATACTTGATGTGACCGGGCGAGTCACGGAGATGAACGAGTTTGGTGGCACGCTGGCAAATTTGTGCCAAGGTGGCAACGGTCCCGGCATCATCGTGGTTGACCAGACGACCGTGCTCGTCGAACCCGATAATTTCGGTGTTCAGACACGACGTGCGACCGGTCAACATCTCGTGGTTGTGGCGGAATATATTCAGACGAGCGGCGCCTAGTTCCGTCTCCAAGATGCCCGAGCCCAAGACGCCAATCAGGGTACTCTTTCCCACGCCAGAGTCACCAACGAGGGCCAAGCGCACGTCAAGGAAATGCTGCTCCTCGCGAACACGCCGCAGATGAACTTCGGCCACCATGCCAGAGCCATCAAAGGAGAGACGGCTGTGAATAGTCGTAATGTGCGCCCCGGCCTTTTCGGCCATCAAGGCCAGCGTCTCCAGAGACGCGGCTAGATCGTGCTCTTGCAGTCCCTGAACGGTGCCATCGTCAGCCACGCCAATCTGGTGGTGGGACATGAGCCAGCATAAGTAAAGCATTGAACGGAGCTGAGAGCTGGAGGTCTGATGCATCATCGAGCAGCCACAAGTGGTTGGACGCCACCAGACCTGGTAGACGCATTCGCCATCGCCCTCCGCCAGGCGCCACCGCATCTGAGTGATGAGATGCGTAAGGCGTTGCGAGGTCACATTCACCAGCTTGAGCTTGTACTCGGTATTGCCCTCCTATTGTGTAATGCACCGGCAAGACAAAAAGAGGCGTCATGGAACAAAGCGCAGTGTAGCGTGCAGCGAGGCGGAGGTGGTGGGCGGAGCAGCATTGGCACCTGGGGTTCTGGGGGTAGGTGGGGTGGTGACTGCGCCAGCGTCCGTTGCTTGGCACGCGCCAGGAGGGGGTGTTGTGCCCATGCCATGGCTACCATCCACGGACGAGCTGAAATGAGCACTCGGAGGCCAGAGGCATGCACGGGTCAGCAGCAAGTCAGCAACGCAACTTGAAGGTCAACACACCAGACAACGTCTTTTGGGAGTCCATGATGAAGGCTGGCTGGAATGAGGTACCGGGCCGGGCCGGGCCGGGCCGAGCAGGGCTGGCCGAGCCGGGTCGTGTCCTTTGAGAGGTTCGAAAAGGCTAAATTCGTATGCGATGTGCGGCGAGATGATGTCGGAACAGGTCCTGACAAGGGGAGTGAGGATGACGCGAGTTCCAAGTCTGCATGATTTGGTTCAGCGAGCTGGACTGCGCGACGTCGGCCAGGACAAGAAACTGCAACCATGCCGATGACTCGCGTCCACACACACGCGCAGGCTTGACCCAAATTTGGCCATTCGACCTCAACTCGCTCACTTACCGGCGTGCTCATCATCATCGTCTTGACTGAACGCCCAGCACCCATCGACACCTACAAAGCATGGAAACCGCACCTTGCTCAGTAAATCCAGGCTGAATGTTATGAATGCCAGCCCGGCTCCTGCACCGCCATCAAGCAGGCACGTCCGGCGCTGCCATTGGACCAACCACCCGCGGGTCGTCCGGGTCTGTCCGCAGGAGAGCAGGAGGCGTAACCGGCCCTGCAACATCCACCTGAGCACCGCCTTTATGCTGCACAAAAGAGCGTTTGTGCAGATGGTAATAGTCACACTAGCCAAGATTTTGCAGAACGAGTGACGGTTTGTGCGGCTTTCGCCAACCGCTCCAACGCTACGTGTGCGATGCTGCTCTTGACCTAAAAATACCAACTTCTGAAGGGCTACTTTTAGACGATCGTTGTCAATGTCATTTTACAGAGGTGTTATGAAAATACACCTCCGGCGCGGCATGAGAGAGAGAGAGAGAGAGAGAGAGATTTGAGAGAGAGAGAGACACACACACACACACACACATACACAGCGAGAGATTTGAGCGAGAGATTTGAGAGAGAGAGAGAGAGAGAGAGAGGCAGTGTCACGAACGGACGACGCCGAGCTGTGTGAGCGCGGCATCATGGACGAGATCGAACCGATCAAGGTCTGGTTCCGTGTTCGTCCGTGTTTGCGGCTTGGGAATTGGCTTTGTGTCGGCGCCTTTGTGCAGTGCATTGGCCAGTGAGACTGGGTCGCTTTGTGGAGGAGGCCCTCGCGCGCGCTCTGAGAGAGGGAGGATGAGCGCGATCGCCTGCCTGCCTGAGCACGCTCTGGCTTGACATTGGGTGGCAGCTCATCCGCCCCGAATGATTCACCTGCCTGATTGTGTTAGATTAACAACGTGTCCCTGCGCCAGAACAACCGGACCGTAGCCACGGGCGTGCTCAAGTTTCAACATGCCGTCATGCTCTTCCACGATGCTGCCTCCGGAACAGAGCAGTGGGTCAGTCTTGACACCTCCACACCACCCCCGCCAATCTGACTCAAGAGGACATGACAACGAGCCTTGCAGTGGCTTGAACCGTTCTCATCCTCGTTTGTCCCTCGATACGAATTGCGTGCCATGTGCCAGATTGAGTACATGATCATTCAGACGGTGGACATGGTCAAGCTTGGCCCTACTTGGATCCTCAACATCTTCTGCAAGAATTTTCGCAAGATCGAGTTCCAGATGACCTCGGAAGACGACTGCCTCCGCGCCCACGACCGCCTTCAAGAATTGAGCCTCCCTGGTGAGTGGTTGGCCGGTTTTCCACTTATCCTTGAACGCCAGTCTCACACATGCATGGGCACCACAAAACCGATTACGGCATTGTTGATCGGCATGTTGATCCACCTTGCTTTTCGGACGCCACCAGAGGATTTGGAGCAATTGGACGCCTTTCGCCCCCAGCGCAAGATTGATTCGGATGTCGACGGCTGGGCGCTCTACTCGCCCATGGCCGAATACGGACGCATGGGTGTACCCAACCCTCAGTGGCAGCAAGTAGATTACAACAATACTTACAACGTAAGGTGAAGGCCATTCTCGATTTGCCGTTGATCAGGTGTACGTGTTCACCGGCCGCCCCCGGTGTCATGACGTAGCTCTGCCCGACATACGGACGGACGCTCTACCTCCCAAGCTCCGTGACAATGGAGCAAGCCTTTGCCAGTGCCAAGTTTCGCAGCAAGCAGCGCCTGCCAGTCCTCAGCTATCTCTTTCAGCGCAATCAAGTCAGTGTTGACCTCTTTCTCTTACAGTTGTACCAGACTCCTTATTTTTCCCCTCTTCCGACCATGTCCGACCAGGCTCATGCGTTGATCACTGCGCGCACCCACACACATATACAGGCGGCCATCTGCCGCTGTGCGCAACCACTGACCGGCGTGCAAGCCAAGCGCTCCGAAGACGACGAAGCACTTCTCGAGTTTATTCGACTTTGCAACCCTCACAGCGAATTGCCCCTCATCATCGTCGACACCCGCCCTCGGGTACGGCCCAGGACCTAATCACCCCCAACTCCAATCAACACGTGTGCCTGCTGATATACAGCATGGTCCTTGATGCACGCTCACCTAGTCTTCATGGCGCCCCACCCGTACAGATGAATGCCATGGCCAATAAAGCCGCTGGCAAAGGCTTTGAAAACATGGAAGGCTACACAAACTGTCGCCTAGAGTTCCACGGTCCGTGTGCAAACTCAAGCTGCTTGCTCTCACAAAGTATCAAGCTCTCATTTGCTTTATCCCGCAGGCATTGAAAACATCCATACCATGCGTGGCAGCCTCAACGCGCTTGTCAAAGGTCGGTCACGACAACAGTCAAGAGATGCCCTCGCATGCACCACCCACCTTGGCTCGCGCAAGCCCACCTTGGCTCGCTCGACTTGCTGTCCCGTAGTTGTGCAAGACCCGACCATCTCCATGTCCAAGTATCTCAAGGGTGCGCCCCCCTGCCGCGTTTTGGTGCATGCAGCTGTTTGCATTTCGCTTGGCATCCGCGTTCTATATGCCAGCAAGCAAGAGAAACTCACCTTGCCATGACCACCAAATAGGCATCCAGGAATGCGCGTGGCTTAAGCATATCCAGGCCGTGCTGAAGACAACCATGGTGATCACTCGCTACATTCAAGATGGCCACTCGGTCCTGGTGCACTGCAGGTGATCACTCGCATGTCCCTGGCCACGAATCCATGCCTCCGGTTGCACAACCAAAGGCGTGCTCAAAGCAACCTTTTGATCGTGTGCTGCTGCTGGTACTGCTGGTGATTACATGTCGACTTTGATCACGATAACTAACGGCAAGGCCATCTTTCGTGTGTTAGTGACGGTTGGGACCGCACAGCCCAAACTTGCTCCCTGGCCGGCCTGATGCTGGACCCCTACTACCGCACCATCGAGGGGTACATTGTTTTGATTGAAAAGGAATGGCTGTCCTTTGGCCACAAATTTCTTGATCGCAATGGCTTTCTCAAGGGCAGCGGCCGCGTATGTCCAGGCAGCTGTGACGCAAACGTCGTCCTGCAGTGCCATTTGTCGCCCGTTCACTTTTTGCCCGCTTCGCCACACGTCCTTCTCTGTAGGAGGTCTCGCCCATTTTTCTTCAACTTCTCGAATGCACCTGGTGCTTGCAACGGCAATTCCCATTGGCCTTTGAGTTCAACGAGTCTTTCCTCATTGCCATGCACGATTGCTTACATTCGTGCAAGGTACGTACGTGCTTGAGCCGCGTCTACCCTTCATGCGGGTCATTGTCCAGCCCACTCGCACTGACACAATCTGCCCATTGGCTTGACGTTACCATTTAGTTTGGCACCTTCCTGGGTAATTGCGAACAGGCTCGCCGTGATGCCAAATTGCATGAACGCACACAGTCCGCTTGGAGCTACCTCTACTCGCGGTACGCACCAGTTCTTCAACTCACGGCCAAAGCGGTGCCCTTGCTTCTCTTTAACAACGATTCAATGTCACCTTGGCCTCGTCTCTTGCACGTGTAGCAAAAGCGAGTTTATCAACCCATTTTACGACGCTTCGCAAGATCCTGAGGGTGGCGTCCTCAACCCATCACTTGCACCACAGCACTTTGAGCTGTGGTCGGCCATGTACTGTCGGTGGGAGTCTGCCAGCCTGCCACGCCAACCACTGCTGCGATCCTTTGAATATTACAAAGTCAAGCTGGATCATGACAAGCGCCGATTGGCCGAGGCAAAGGCGCGCCTCAGCCCCGCCGCAGCCAGCACTGAGACCAATCCGTCCACAGAAGATCCTATTCCCAGCCCCTTGGAGGTGGGTTAGATAGTCCTTTCGATGCTACTCGATACCATTCAGTCATGTGGGGCCAGAAGCCTGCTAGACACGGCGATCGCTTCTCATGTCATGTCTTTTTTCGTTCGTCCATAGCCCCTCCAAACCTGGTTGGATAACTCTACTTCAAGCATCATGCAATCTTGGTGAACCCATGGCTGCCATTTGGCTCTTGGGCTCTGCCCTGCCTGTCTTGAAAACTAGTTTACTAGGCCCAATGCTTTTTTGAAAGTAATTCATGCACATTTCAGACTCTTGCCCACGGCTTTGTCTCGATGATCTATCGTCTCGATTGTGTCCAGCAGCGCAGCCACGCAATAAAGGCACGGTGTTGACAAAGCATGAAGAACACGTCGCTTGCAGGCGCGCATGCTGAATACAATGGACCAGATCTGCCCCGAAATCAAGCTCTGCACAGTTTCTGATGGGGATTTCGAGGGGCATTCACAAATGAAGAAGAATCGCAATAAACAAGAACACACGGGGGAATAATGTGACTGAGACACAAGCGCCAAGGGCTTCAAAGAAGCGAGGCATGGTCAAAAGGAAAGCACCAAGCCTGAGCGCGTAACGAAGGGAGCCAAAAGAAAAAAAATCACAAAACATGCATCATAGCACACAAGCGGGGAAAGCATTTCACGGCAGAGAAGATCGGAGACCTCGAGAAAGCGCTATGCTTTGTGGTGACTTAGGCACCAATGGGGCACTCGCCCGAGGTGCTGGCGCAGCAGCATAGACGTCGCTGTGCAGTACCAACGGCTTCCTTGGCGCAGGTCGGCACAGATGGACCGCCATCGTAGAACTCACAGCTGTTTGAGCCAGTCACAAAACGAGGGGTGTTACGACCACCGACGGCAGACGGGGTACTGCTGCAAGCTCCAAAGGGGGCTCCCAATTCAATTACGTAGACGTAGGTAAACTCCATGACCGTGTCAACCTCAGCCAGACGAGCCTCGAGACAAGGCAGGTTCTCTTGATCACAGACTTCTTGACAGGATTCACCCTCCTGGCCAGCGAACCATCCGGGATCGGACGCAGTGGAAGTGGAGGTGGAAGTGGAAGTCGAGGTGGAGGTGGAGGTAGAGGTGGAAGTTGAGGTGGAAGTCGAGGTCGAGGTGGAAGTCGAGGTCGAGGTCGAAGTTGAGGTCGAGGTCGAAGTTGAGGTCGAGGTCGAGGTCGAAGTCGAGGTCGAGGTCGAAGTCGAGGTCGAGGTCGAAGTCGAGGTCGAGGTCGAAGTGGTGGAGCTGGAAGTGGAAGTACTGCTAGAGCTAGAGCTTGAAGTGGAAGTGGAAGTCGAGGTGGAGGTGGAGGTGGAGGTGCTGCTAGAGCTAGAAGTGGAAGTCGAAGTCGAAGTGGAAGTGGAAGTCGAGGTGGAGGTGCTGCTCGAGCTAGAGCTAGAGCTAGAGGTGGACGTCGAGGTGGAGGTGCTGCTCGAGCTAGAGCTAGAGCTAGAGCTGGAAGTCGAGGTGGAGGTGGAGGTGGAGGTTGAGGTGCTGCTGGAGCTAGAGCTAGAGCTAGAGCTGGAAGTGGAAGTGGAAGTGGAAGTGGAAGTGGAAGTGGAAGTGGAAGTGGAAGTGGAAGTGGAAGTGGAAGTGGAGGTGGAAGTGGAAGTGGAAGTGGAAGTGGAAGTGGAAGTGGAAGTGGAAGTGGAAGTGGAAGTGGAAGTGGAAGTGGAAGTGGAAGTGGAGGTGGAGGTGCTGCTGGAGCTAGAGCTAGAGCTAGAGCTGGAAGTGGAAGTGGAAGTGGAAGTGGAAGTGGAAGTGGAAGTGGAAGTGGAAGTGGAAGTGGAAGTGGAAGTCGAGGTGGAGGTGCTGCTAGAGCTAGAGCTGGAGCTGGAAGTGGAAGTGGAAGTGGAGCTGGAAGTGGAAGTACTGCTAGAGCTAGAGCTTGAAGTGGAAGTGGAAGTCGAGGTGGAGGTGGAGGTGGAGGTGCTGCTAGAGCTAGAAGTGGAAGTCGAAGTCGAAGTGGAAGTGGAAGTCGAGGTGGAGGTGCTGCTCGAGCTAGAGCTAGAGCTAGAGGTGGACGTCGAGGTGGAGGTGCTGCTCGAGCTAGAGCTAGAGCTAGAGCTGGAAGTGGAAGTGGAAGTGGAAGTGGAGGTGGAGGTGGAAGTGGAGGTCGAGGTCGACGAGGAGGATGAGGTGGAGGTGGATGAGGAAGTGACGGGCAGGGGCAGCTGGTTTGCCTTGAGACGAATGGAACAGTCTCGTAGCTCCAAAAGGTCAGCATCAGCCTTTTTCAAGCACTTTTTCAACTTTTTGGCATCCTATGAGCAGGAGTAGTGACGACAGATTTTGTGAGGGCGGCTATCAAGGTTGGGTAATGTGGGGATCCTAATACCGGGGCACTTGCGTACCTTCTTAGAGCGCACTTCAACCTTGACTTCGAAGCGATCGCGACCGGTCATGTCGTTGTCGAACTTGAGATCGTTCTCATCGCGGAGCAAGATGCGGCAAGGCTCATCAATGCGGCTGCAAGAGTCAACAACGTCCTGGAGCGCCTTGTAGATTCGGCGTTGGTCCTTGCTGGATAGCTCGGCGCCCCCACGACCTCCACATGTCGCGGCAAACTTGAACTGTAGAAGCAAAGAAGCCACGCATTAGAGAAAGGGAAAAGCATGTCATCCAAGGAAAAGCTTCAGCACAACGAGGGAACCTCGAGATTCCCAGATCAAAGCAATATTGATCGGGCGACAATGGTGCCCGCAACGCCAACAGAACTCGGTGTCTAACGGACTGACGGGTGACTGACCTTCTTCTTGAGTTTGTCATCGTCTCCCTTGTCACAAGGCTTGAAGCGCAGGCAGGACTGGGTCTCATCATCAAAGCACGTGCGCGCTCGATAGCACATCTTGCCTTCGGGATCGGTGCAAGGCACTAGGGTGGTGCAGTCACAACGGCCAGCTAAAGTGGAGATTGAAAGGACAAGTGCACAGACGATGAGAGCACGGATGCCGACGCTCCTGAGGCATGTGTGATAGGGAAAGAGGTCAGGGAGACGAGACGCACAAACGGAACCAAACGTGACACCGCTGGAAAACCCGGGGACGAGCATGTAACCCTGCTTGGCATTCTTGGCCTTGATGCCTTCACCATTGTTGTTCTACAGTGCACAACAGGGCACAAGGAAATCAGCAATAGCCGGGGGGGGCACTTGCACTGGGCTGGCTTTGGGCAATCATCAGGCTGCACTGGATCCATTCAACAGGAAAAAGAGGTGAAAAGGGCAGCGTACCTCAAGAGCAATCAAACGCTCGGAGTCATAGTAAAAGTCGCCAAGCTGATCGGGGGTTGTCGTGACTGGGCTACGCGTGGTAGCAGGACGACGCGTGGTGTGGTTGGCGGCGGCCATGGCTGCGAGGAGCACAAAGGCACAGGCCAGGAATCGGAGGCTGCTGTGTGCCATGCTTGCGGTGAAAAGGAGGGGCAGGGCACCACTAGCAAAGACACCGGGAGCAAAAATGGCACTCGTGGCAACGCATCAGCTGGTGAATAACTAGCAGTTTGATCGCCGTGCGTGACAATTTCCACCGGATCGCCTCTTCTAGTGGACGGGACCCATGGATGTTAAGCTTGGCGGAAAAGGTCTGGGTCGCCTAGGCGACCTCGGGAACAGAGAAGCCACCGAATGGTCGAGGGGGTGATGGCGCCTAGGACGATATTGCCAACTCGTGGTGGTCTCGCGCTTGGCCCCACGTGATGCAGCTGGTGAGCCAACGCAGTACCATGTCATCCCGTCGGGCGATTGCGAGACATGCACTCTGTATGTGGCGTTTCCATGGACGCAGGAATATGGTGGCTGCCATGGGTGGCGTCATTGTGCTTGTGTGGACGGTTTCGCCGTGACCCTTGCGAGCTGTCCATTGTATGCTCCCCCTACACGCACGCGTGTACCTCGGCCCAACACCCAGGTACAAGCGGTGGGTGGAAGAGAAGAGGGTGTTGCAACAAGAACTGCACAACGTGCAAAGTAGTCAAAAGATGACGACGAGGACAAAGGCTCCCATCATCGGCGCAGAAGGTGTGTAGCGGCACACAGGTGGTGACCCCCGGCAACCCAGCGCTCGGACAACCAACAATTCTGCCGCGCAACCGCAGAGACAGCCAGCAACCTTTACCTTGGATCGCACTCACACAGACACACACACACTCTCTCTCTCTCTTTCTCTTTTGATAAGCAAGCATGCATGCACATCGGATTTACAGAAGAGGACGTGGTGGTGATCTTGCACCCGAAAAAAGTGTGCATGCATGTCTTGGGGCGACGGGGAGTGGCAGGCTGTGCAGGGGTGGGTAAGCAGGTTGTCATCTTGATGCTTGCCACACATGGCCTGATTGCAAGAGACTACCATGTGAATTGGCAGTGGACAAAGAGGAAGAATCATGCTGGCAGAACTAAACACTCGTGCTCTCAATTGTCGCTTTTCGACTCGTTCAAGCGCAACGTGTGGAGGCACAGGACACGCAACTCTGTGGCACACAGAGGCACACAGATGACAAAGGAAAAAGAACATGAAGCACTGAATCGAGGGACGGTACGGGCGCACGGCGCGCTGATTGAGGCTGGGCCTCGGTAGACTGCACAGAAAGATGTATCACAAAGCACGAGGATCACAAGGACGATGATTGATCTCACCAGGCTCTCAACAGCTGCGAGCTTGTGCGTTTGACCCAGTCGCCCCCTAGTTTTCGCCGTCATCGTCGCCATCATCGTCGCCATCATCGTTGCCATCATCGTTGCCATCATCGCTGCCATTGTCGCTGCCATTGTCGCCATCATCCTCAACGTCATCGGCGCTGAGGGGGCAGGCAGACGGGTCGGCAGCGCAGCAGCAGATGCGGTGGACATTCTCGTCGTCATCGCCAAAGGTGGCATCGCAATCTGGCTCCTGGGTCTCCTCGGAATAGTAACAGATCAGTTCGTTTGTCTCTGGCGTCACAAAGGGGCTGAAAATGGCCGAATAACCGAGCACATCGTCACAGATCCCAAACGGCGCGCCGAGCTGGCTTTGGTACACAAATGTCAGCTCAGCACCTGTGTCGAGGTCTGCAAGAGGTCCTGTTTGGCAGGTCTGGCCGACCGTCCCGCACACATCGGAACACGATTGCAACGGCATCGCCAGGTACCAGCCGGGCATCATTGTAGTTGTTGTCGTTGATGTGGTGGTGGTCGAGGTGGTGGTCGTGGTAGAAGTCGTGGTGGTAGAAGTTGTGGTGGTCGAAGTCGTGGTCGTTGTTGTCGTCGAGGTGGTGGTTGTCGAGGTTGAGGTAGTTGAGGTTGTTGAGGTTGAAGTCGTTGAGGTGGTCGTTGTGCTCGTTGTCGAGGTCGAGGTTGTCGAGGTCGAGGTTGTCGAGGTCGAGGTTGTCGAGGTGCTTGTGGTTGACGTGCTGGTGGTACCCACGCCCGGCAAGAGCTCGGGAGACAAACGAATGGAGCAGCTTTTCTTTTCCAAGACGTCTGGGTCCACTTCATCAAAGCACCGCTTGAGATCCTTCTTGTCCGAGCGCGACACTACCTTGACCTTGACGGAGTAGGCCTCGAGACCCGTGTCATCGGGATCTGAATCGTCAAAGTTGAGGTCCTTGCGGTCGCCCGCCGCAATACGGCAAGGCTGCAGATCACCAGAAGACCATAAGTGCGGCAATGAGAACAGTTGCCGAGGTTGAATTACGGGACCAAGCCAAGCACCAAACCCAGCCAGCAATTCAGAGAAATACGCAGGGGCTTACCTCGTCAATGCGGTCACATTTGCGAATAACCTTGGACAGTGCCTTGTAAATACGCTTTTTGTCCTTCTTCTTGAGCTCGCTGCCGCCACGTCCGTTACACACGGCGAAAAACTTAAACTACGACGTAGCAAGGTGGTGTCTCCAACTGTGAGCTCGACCCAAGCAAGACAGGCGGCGACAGGCGTCACCCGCACCTTGGCATCATTATCGTTGTCGTCATCCTCGTCACACTTTTTAAACTTGACGCACGAGTTGTCGTCAGACTCACAGGGAATGGCCCGAAGGCAGGTCAAGTTGTCCTCATCGGTGCACTCGACTGCAACTTGGCACCGGCACCGACCAGCTGACGGAAAAAAAAAAAAAAAAAAAAAATAAAAGCATAAGTAACAATGCATCGCGCTGTCAGGTGCCGGGTTGATGGATAGAGAGTTGACCAGCAGGCTTGCTGTCGAGCGCGCTCGCTGCCTACATACCGACGCTCTCGAGGCGAAAGCCGCTTGAAAAGCCAGCCGCCAGCGTGTAGCCACTATTGCGTGCCTTGAGCTTGAACCCCTTGCCGTTGGCGTTCTAGGTACAGAGTTATCGAGTGAGGTGCAATCGGTTCTCACGCTGCCTGCGCATCAATTCCAGCTATTGTGACAGTCTGGCGCCTACCACATCATCCTGGAATGGTGCCAGCTGAAAGTTGTCAAAGTCGTCCAAGTCATCATCACCGCGATCATTGTTGGTAGTCACCACGGGAGCACGTGTGGTGGTGGTAGTGGTGACAACGGGAGCCCGCGTGGTGACCTGAGCAGCCGACAAAGCCACGAGGGCCAGAACGACCACGAGAGGGGTGAAGGAGGCCATGCTTGCAACTGGGTTTGCCGTTGGGTAGGACAATGCCAAAGTACAGCGCGAGGCGTGCAGTTGAGACTCAAGCTGGCCAAGGTCCAAGAGACAGTCACCCAAGTAAAATGCCACTCCGTGAAGCGGGGGGCTCACATCTCGAGCCGTGGCAGCCACTAAACCTGGTCGACACAGAGTCAAGGGCGGCAACAACAAACGAAAGGGCAAGAGCAGAACTAGCCTCCCCTTCTGCAGTGACGCTTCCTTGAACTAGAGTGGTTTGCACACGCCTCCAACGAGTGGCAGCGATGAACAGGCTCGCCGTGCTGCCATAATCTTACGGGTTGAAGAAGGAAAGAAGTCAGGGTTGCTTTCGTGGTGACTGGAAGGAGGAGTACTATCGAGTAGATGACTGACGGCGTGACAGAGCACTTTAAAACGGGTCACTCGAGCAGGAGCAACCCACTGCACCATCCACCTCGCCCTCAGGGGCAAGAACTCGAAGACTTGTCCTACATCGCCTTTGCGGCTGCTAAACCGCAATTTGACTGCTGCGCCGAGAACTTCCTTCCCTCTGACTCAATGCTGTCCGTTTGCGACCAGAGTCCCTTGACATGCAGCGACTGCCCTAGCAGACGCATTCAAGCCAGCCGGACCCCGCTGTTGGCCTTTGGAGTCCAGTGGTCGCTGGTCTCCAGCACCGGGTCGACAACACGAATCTTCGCGTGTCCTGTTGCGATCGAAGCAGAAAAGGCAAACGTGTCGGCCAACACGCCAAGCTGTTGGACAAGCTGCCGTGATCCTCAGCCATAGTCCTCAGCCATACGAGGCCAGGGCAGAACGGAGCGCCCGGGCAGGACTGCAGGACTGCCCCCACGTCCAGCAGACCTTTTGACCTCTTTTTCACATTTCAAAAACAAGTTGTGTCCGCTGTGGAGCCCGTAACATGTCCGCCCGTTGCTGGGCAGTCCCTGGTCAACCCATGACCGACCCGGTGGTGTCTGTGGTCGGCCCTTGTCATCTGCCTTTTGTCCTTGGTCAAGTATGACCCGACGAGTGCCTTGACATTCGTGCCTTGACGGCTTTGACGGCTCGTCATGGTAGTGGTGCCTCAACATCAAGCCACTGCAGCCACTGCGTAAGCGTCGGAAGAGACTGCAGGAGTAAGGCATGGGCACCACGACCACAGCTACGTGTTATTAGACTGTGAATAACGGGAAAGGCACCACCCTCGCCCATGGCGCAAGCATCCTGGACGGCACCGGCTGAGTCGAGCCCTGGTCGCTCATTAGTCAATTCACATGTCAGTTCAAACGGAGGGTCACGGCAAAGGGCCTCTCGCACGCCCTCTAGCCTTGAGTATGTTCAAGTCCATCAAGTCATTACATGTCCACAAGCTCCCACCGCATGACGGCGTCTATCTGCGTCTCTCTAGCTTTGCTTAGCTGCAGCCTCAGGCTGGCCAAACACGATTACCCCTCATACCAACGAACTGTGGCTGTAAGAAAAGCCGGCAAATTCGCCCTGATCAATGCCCTCAATCATCTTTGGGTTGGTGGGGGTCAACCGCACGGCCTCCGAGGTAAACTCGCGGTCAAAGTTGCTCGCGTCCAGGCTTGACTTTATGTGAGGGACAAAGGGAGGGGTCAACTCACACGCCTCCAGCTTCATCCAATCCAGACCCTCAAAAAAGGCGTGCGTTTTGATATCGCGCTCCCCCGTCGAGGCACAGCCCAATCGCCGCGGAATGGGACGCGTCAAAAACTGTTCCACGCCAGCGAGATTGTGCAAGTGAGCAACCAGCCGCGCCGCGCCGTGCCCTGCCCAGTCCCAAACCCTGGAAGCCGCTCTCAGCTATCACGAGCAACGTACTGCCTCGATGAGGGCGCGCGCCGTCTTGCTGACCCAGGCCGGAAACAAGACACTGTCGTTGCAGATTGCATCAAAGAGATCCTCCTCATCCTCCGCATCAAAGGGTGGTTGCCCCACCAACATCTCATAGGTCAGCACCCCCAGCGCCCACCTACAAAGTCAGAGGAAAACCGGCGACAATCACGTGAACGAGGTCTGCTCATGCCATGGCCTGTCAGCAAAGCCTATCGCCACACGCGCGCGACAACCACCCACGTACCAGTCCACGGAAGGGCCATATGCCTCCTCACGAATCAACTCGGGGCTAATGTAGTCGGGCGTGCCACAAAAGGTATTCTACACAAGCCGGCCATTTTCCACCAGGAAAGTCAGAAAAAAAAGCCAGCTATTGCCATTGCCAGCAAGTACCAACCAGTCAAAGCTCACCGTCGTGCGCCCGTCACTGACGCCCATTTTGCACATGCCAAAATCAGCCAGGAGACAGTGCCCGGCGGCATTCAACATGACATTGTCCAGCTTCAAGTCGCTATCAACAAGCATGCAGATGGGAGCAACCGTATTGTCACCACAGGCGCGTGAGCCGCAGCGCAGCATCTTCAAGGTCGAGCGGCGGCGGCGGGCGGGCGTTCGAATGGTAAAGGGGTTCAGCTAATTGATGTGCATGGATGCATCCCCGCTACCCCAACATTCTCGCTTGGGCAACAGCGGTGACAGCTCGGGACCGACCGGTAAATAATGCCGCGCTTGTGCAGAAACAGCAAGGCGCACACGATTTCAGCGCAGTAGAATTGGGCTCGGGGTTCCTCAAACTTGCGACTCTTTTGAATCTGGTACATCAAGTCACCGCCGGGTACAAACTCCATCACCTGTAGACACGTTCCATCCAAAGGCCACGCACGTCCCCATGAGTGCTACGCATGTGTGCTGGTGCTGCTGGGGGGCTCGGCCAATTCCCAACAACCATGTACGCACAAAGTAAAGTTTATCTGGTGTTTGGAACGTGCAGACAAGCTGCGTGAGAAAGGGGTGTTGTGTAGCGACGGCCAGCACGTTCTTCTCAGTCAGGGCACACTCGACGTCGTCGTCCTCAAGAATATGCACCTTCTTTAAAACCTGGAAGGTGCCGCCGTCAGCATGTGAGGCAAAGTTGTGGGGGGAAAAAGGCACTTGCTGAACAGAAACCACCAAATGGAAGGGGCGGTGCGTGCATGCGCGCACCTTGATGGCCACCGCCATGTGGTTGCGCTTGTCCTCGGCCAAAAGCACCTTGCCAAAGGAGCCACGGCCCAAGACTTTTAGAAGGTTGTAATCCTCGATTTTGGGCCCATGAGGCATGCTGCTGGGAGGCACAGCACCAGAGGTCGCCCCGTGGCTAGTCCGAATTCATGGATGACAAATGAGATGGGGTGGGCCATTTCAAAACGAATGATGCGCACGCGTCAAGAAAACATGGCCAAACCAACCTGCTGTCGGTCTGCATGGATGAGTCGGAGCTTGCAGCAACCTGCGTGCCGAGCGCGTTGGGGGCGGCGCGAGCTCCAAAGCCATGTCGACTCTTGCGCACCCGGCCCTTGCTGCTTGTTGAAGCATTGCTCTATGACAATCACAGCCAGGGCAGCTTGGTGAGACTCGACAGCCCCTCGTGTGGCAACGAACGGAGAGACGTTTGGATTGTGAGAAAGGGGGCAGAAGACGCACTCCGTCAAGTTGGCTGACACTGGTGCCAATCTCCGACAAGATGTCCGAAAAGGCCTTGGCATCAACGCCGCAATTGTGGGCCACATTGGCGAGGCATCGCTTGTGCGAATTGAACCCACAGGCCTGGCAACGGTGTCCTTGATGTCGCAACCCCCTGTAAAGCGGAATTGAAAAAAAAAATGAGAAGTGGGACGGACTACGTGCAAGGATGTGGCGCGATGCATAGGAGCGTAGCGTTGTACACTCGCGCTCAAGCGCCTGGCTCACAGCAAACTGCGGGCACTGACCAAAGTAGGGAGCCACAGTGGTCACAAAACGTGGGTCGAAAGTAGTTGTGGACCTTGAAGCGGTGCGGCAAGCTGATGTTGAAGCGCTTGTCTTGGCCCTGGGCGGTGCAAGATGAAGCAAAAGAAAAAGGGTATGATCAGCAACACGTCTTCTGCGAATGAAGCAATGGGGATGGGCTGGGCCCGCTTGCGAGGTGTGCGCAAGCGTGCCGTGCGGGAGTGTGGCTTGCCTCGGATGTGATTTGTTTGTCGACGCCAGGACACGAGGTGATGACTTTTTCGTGGCACTTTTTGTGCACGACGACACCGCACACTGGACCGGTCAAGAGGCAAACGCATGACACAGCAGGTCAATACGATAATTAACCATGAGACACGGTGCAGGCAGACACGCTGACATGGCCCACAGTTTGTGGAAGGTGAACCTACGTTGACATTTGTAGCCTTTGGATCGGTCGGTGCAAATGACGAGATGAGACAAGTCTTTGGAAGTTGTTGACGGGATGATGCGATGCAGACCCCGGTTGCTTGACAAACCTTGTTTTCCAAGACCCCAGCAAAAGCCGGAACAATGGCTGCAGAATGTGGGTTGGCGCAAGAACAGAGCCTACGTGGCAGTTTTAATCAAGCGAAGGTGCGCTCGTAGGATGTGGAACACCACATCGAAGCGAGCCGGGAAGAAGCAGCGGATGCAATAAAGCATATGCAGGCGTACCACGAAGCGATGATTGAGGACCACATGAATTTTCTTCCGCTTCATGGCCCCACGGCGACCACGATTGGCGCGCGCGACGAATTTGCGGGGTTCTGATACAAGGCCATAATGTATGATGTTTCCAACAAGGCAGCATGCGGTCAGATGACGAGGCGGAAAGAAGACTTGACACACGAAAAGCAAATGGTAGAGAAGGAGGAGGAGGAGGAGGAGTGCCGTGGCTCCGAGCGAAACTAGACATTAAGGATGCCAAGCCAGGGCAATGTGGGCCGAAACAGGCACAGAACGCACCGGTGACGGCCTGTGCCCAGTCAATCTTCACTTTGACTTTTCCGGCAGGTTCGAGTTCAAACTGGGACGAAGCAAACCACCCGCGAACACGATTGTGAGCAAAGGGACGATGTCCGAGAAAAGATCAGGCAAAAAAAGAAAAGCGGGAAAACGGGGCAGGCGGGGCGGATGGGACACAGTTCAACACGACGCGGTGGGGAGGGGCGAAATGTTAGTGCCTACCCAAAGATCTGTGGTCCCACTGTCGCCTTCGATGCAATCGGCGAGGTTGACCTTGAGGCTGGCCAGAAAAGTGCCATCTCCAACCAAGGCCTTGCTGTAGCAAAGGAGCTCAATGTGTTCGGCGCGATCGGCGTTGGTTTCAAAGACTTCTTCCCAGATGGGCGACTCAGTTTTGGGCTTGACGGTTGTTTTCCCCACCAAGGTGTGGTCAAGCTGGACGATGCAGTAGGGATCGATTGTGCGCTTGGAAGATTTGAGGGGCTTGAGATTCTCAGCACGCAGAACGTAGATGCGCAACATGCCAGAAAAGCTAAAGTGACTGCTGGGCGACTGATGGTGAGCCGTGCTGGCCGTGCTGGCCTGGCTAGCTTGGCTGGCGCTCTTCTGGCCACTGCTGCGGCGGCTGCTCTGGCTATGACTCTGGCTTGGCGCCTTGGCCTGACGTACGTGGGCCGCCATCATGTTGAGCTGGGACCCACCGAGAAACGAGGCTCAACCGTTGAGGCAGCCAAGGCACGGAAGGGGTGCGGGGGCAGTTTGACGAGAGCGCAAAGTTGAGAGCAGCGGTGACGACGGAGGCAGCTGCAGTGACAAGGTAGATGAAGAATGCGACACGAGAGCCAGAAGCCGACAGCCGAGCTGCAATGAGATGGAATCAATCGGGGTCGAAAAGCAGGGCACCGCGCGTGAGCACCCGGATGTGTGCAAAAGGTCAAGAAAGGGGGTAAATGGGCACGTCAAGCGATGGTGATGGCTCGTGCGCCCCCCATTCCTTCTTTCCTTCTTGCTCTTTCCTTTTCCGTCTGGCTCGCGCAGGGCCCCTCGCGCACGAACAGAGGGCCCAAGCCTTGCCTGGCGTTGTTGGTCTTGTGTGTTTTTTGACAAACAGGCGCACGATGAACGAGGGGCGGAGCCAAGATGTGCCCGCTCCACACACCAATTTAAAAACCCAGAACCACACACTTCGATGCCCATGAAAGAATGCTCCCAGGTCACGTTATCACTGATTGTTAATCTCAGGTATGTGCGACGATGCCGCGCCGAGTCGTCCGTGCCTGACAGGGTGGCGAACGACAGGGGACTTACACCCGGCACCCGGCACCCGGCACCAGTCGTAGTGGACCAGCAGGAGTGGGGTTTGCCACAAGGAGATCGGATGTGCAACAAGTTTATAATTATCAACATAAACTATATTTTACATGCTGTTTGTTTCGTCAATAACTTGATCTTTTACTACATGTACTGGCATAAAGCGGACCTCTGGAAAAGTTTGCAAGCTTGCATGGACACCTCTCTCTCTTTCTCTCGTTGAAGTGTGATATGTATTACATTTTATTCAAGTAATGTCTGACAATACTCGGTTGGCACAAGGTGCATCTGCTTGCAAGCAAAGCCAAATTGCATGGTTGTCATCGAAATTCTGGTATTGTCTGACAAATGTGCGCGTGTCTGTGTGGTAAACCCCAAGCCTACAAGCTTATGCATCTCATTCCATGTGTGAGTGTGTGATCCAGAGGTAAAGTGGTCAACGGTTGACTCACTCCTTGCTTCTTGTTCACTTTCTCTCTCTCTCATCTCTCTCTCTCATCTCTCTCTCTTATCTCTCACCTCTCACTTAAAAGGGCAGCGGGATGGCTGCCTCCGGTACTAGGATGGGCTTGGGCAGGATGCTCCTACTGGCCGCGGTTTGCTTGGTTCTGGTCAACCTGCAGATCGTGGCGGCGGGATCCGAGTCGGGTAAAAAGGACAAGGATAGCACCTGGAGTAGCTTTATCGAGAACGTCGGCTCGTACTTGACCGTGGTCGTGCCCGCAGCCCTCCTCATCCGCTACCTCCGCAACAACCCCGACAAGCTAGCTGGTGCGTGTCCCATTGGCGCGTGCCAACGATAGTCCTGCGCTTGCGCTTGCGCTTGCGCTTGCGCTTGCGCAGCGTGCAGAAACCACTGCTTGCTCCTGCCCCCGCTCTCGTCTTGTTGGACTACTCAGGAGACCTCACTCAACGGCGGCCAATGAATGAATGAAACATGCACACGCAGGTACCAATCCTTGCATGGGCGCTGCGCGCCTCTGCGTCTTTGGAAGTGAAGCCAGTGGTCCTGATGACAATGGCAAGAGCACCGGCTCGGCCAAACGAGCCAATGAAAAGGATCTGGAAGCTGGTCCCGTTGCCGATGAACCCCGTACCCCCACCTTTATGCAGCAAGCCTTCCGAATGGCCTTTTGCATCGCTGGCCTCCAAGGTTCCTACATCACGTGGGGTGTGCTGCAGGAGATGATCATGACCCAGGCCTATGGCGTGGACGAAAACGGCGATGACATCATGTTCCGCAACTCCCAGTACCTTGTCTTTGTCAACCGCATCCTCGCCCTCATCGCAGCCGCCCTCGTGTGCAGCTTCACCATCCAGCCTCGCCATACGGCCCCACTCTACCGCTATGCCTTTGCCTCCATGTCCAACATCATGTCCAGTTGGTGCCAGTATGAAGCCCTCAAATACGTCAGCTTCCCAACCCAGGTGCTTGCAAAGTCAAGCAAGATGATCCCGGTCATGATCATGGGCAAATTTGTGCAAAACAAGACCTACCCTCTCTACGAGTATGGTATTGCCGTTCTCATCTCCATCGGCGTCAGCATCTTCCTCTTCTCCAAGGCCGAGCAAGAGGGTGCCATCCCAGATGAATCCGAGGATGATCAGACCAACCCTGTTGGCCTGATGCTACTCGTCGGCTACATGGCCTTTGACAGGTCTGTCCGTTGGCTCACCAAACCGCTTGCCTCCGGCCTCGGCTTTGGGGAATATTTTTTTTTTTATTCCTCTTCTTCTTGGCCTTGTTCTTCTTGGCCTTGTTCCTGGCCATGCTCTCTTTCTTCTCCTCCTACTCCTCCCCCTGCTCCCTCTTCCGCCCGTTGCCTTCATTCCGTCTTATCTTTCATCCTGTCACAGCGATGGTGCCATGATTCTTGCTCACGCCCTTGCCTGTTGACGTGTCGCCCTGTGTGTTGGGGACCCTGTTGCGCGGTTTCATAGCTTCACCTCAAACTTCCAAGCCCACCTCTTTGGCACCTACAAGATGAGCAGCTACCAGATGATGTTTGGCATCAACCTCTTCTCCACCTTCTTCACTGCCTGGTCCTTGATGCAGGTTGGCCAGCCCACCGTGTTTTTCTTTTGCTATTTTTTTGTTTGTTTTCTTTCCTCGTATCATTCGACCGTTCCCGTATTCTCACCGCCGGTTTTCTTCTTTTGAATAGCGTGGCACCTTCTTTGCCAGCGTCAACTTTATGCTCATGTTTCCTAAATTCATGTGGCATGTCATTCTCCTCTCCATCACCTCGGCCACCGGCCAAATGTTCATCTTCTACACGCTCTCAAATTATGGCGCGCTCGTCTTTACCATCATCATGACGACCCGCCAAGTCATCAGCATCTTTGTATCTGCCGTCCTCTTTGGCCATGAGTTTGCTGCCCAGGTAGGTCCGCGTTCTCTTCACTTTTTTGGGGCCTTGCCTCCCCATCGCCTCTGGTGGTCTGAGATCTTGCATTCTCATAAACCTGACCCGACCACCTCACGTGGCACGCGTGCATCCTTAGGGCTGGGCGGGCATTTTCGTGGTGTTTACGGCCATGTTTGCCAAAATTTACTTCAACAGCAAGTACAAAGGCAAAAAGTAGTTCAAGCCTCCGGCTCTGAGTGAATGGCTGCTGTCCTGTTGTTTGTTTGTTAGTGTATTCTGCTTGCTTTGATGACTGTTTATGCCAGTTTTTGAATCTTATCCCTTTAATCTTTGAGCTTCTCTGCGACATCCGCACCAAGAATCCGTCCCATGCTCCTTCGACAAGGAGCTGGTAAAACTTGCTCGTGCTTATTGTCGACCAAAGCGCGAGCGACGTGGCCGTCACGTCTGCAGTGTAAACCAGGTCATTGTCGCCACTTGAGCTGGCAGCATCAATGCGCCCCTTCTATGTGGCTTCTTCACTGTACAATTGTCGGGACGTGCTTTCCACCTCCAACTAAAATGCCTACACTAGGTCAGGGCTTCAATTCATCGCGCCCGCGGCATTATGCACTCAGCTCGTCCAGAAGAGTCCGCACCACGCTCGCCGTGGTAGCGTCCGTCACATGCGACTGCAGCTGTGTCCACAAGTCCGAACCGGTCACTTGCTTTGGCAAATCGTCTTTTTCGAGTAAGCAAGCAAGTCAGCATGAGCCTAGGCGAGAACAAGCAAGCGCAACCTTGCCGTACGCTCTGCGAGGCACTCACTCGAATTGGCCAAACGCTGCACTAAGCTACCCACAACCTGGGCAAAGACGGTCTCGCGAGCCTTGACCAGTCGGGTGCCCTCGGCTGCCTCGCGGGCCACCTCTTGCCACCTATCACACAGCAGCCCAATACCAGCTTTCATGAGGCTTCGCTGGTCTTGTGACTAGCACGAAAAAAAAAAAAACAGGGGCTAACAGTTTGGGCTGCACTTGAATCAAAAGCGCCATGTCTTCGGCCAGGGAGGCCCAGAGTTGATTCTGCATGCCAGAAGCACACCACATGAGTCATAGGCTAGAGGAAAAGATGCTACGCTGTACAGGGCAAGTCAACCAACCGAGCCTGACGGGGCTGCCAGAAGTCGCAGGTGCAGCAATTGAAGGCCTGGCGTAAAAGCCGCAGCAGCACCCGCCGTGGCAGCGACATGACGAGTCGCATCTGCAGTTTGAGAAAGGAATGGGGCATGGGTGAGCCCACCGTCAAAGCACAAAGTAAACACGAGTGGTAACATGCCGATCCCACCTCGCAAACACGCCAAAAGGCGTTCGGTGCCAAGCGGTGGCAGCTCGCCCGGCGTGGCCTTGTGGTACTGACTCAGCTCCTCGCGCACCACCTCGACCGGGAGGCTCGATTGAATCGCCAACTGCTCAAGATGAAGGTCGGCTAAGAGCGAGGTGCATAGCAGGAAACATCAATCAAACGTTTATCTCGCCTCATTCTGGTTCTGGCTGGTTGGTGGTGGGTTGATAGCGTTTCTGACTGCCATTCATACACACATCCACCCCGATTCCCATGGAACAGCATGCCGCTTACGTTGATATGGTGTGTCACTTTCGGCAGCCAACGCACAAAGGCGAGCCAGGCTCCCATAAGTCTGTCAGAGATACGGCCCGGGGAGCAGAGAGAGCTCATTTGTCAGAACCGAAAGCTGCGCACCCCGTGTTTTGGCCCCGGAGCTTAACACACCTGTTGTTGCCAACATTGCTCCTTGCTACTTGACAACAACTGTAGAATATTGGCAGCACCGCCGTAGTCCTCTTGTTTCAAGTTGCGAAGCCATTGCAGCTGGCTTTCAGCCTAAGGGCGAGTCGCAGCATGCAACGGTGAAAACGGAGTCAGCACGCACTTTTAAAAGCGAAGCAAAGCTCATGCTTCGCACCTTGAGAGCCAGCGTAGCTGCCTCTGAGTTGGCATCAAGCAGCTCGATGGAACGGCCTGTTGGCAGCATCGCCTGGATGAGTTTGATCAGAGAATCACAGATGGCTCGTAATTCTTGACTCAGCCTACCTTCGCGTAGATAATGCGCATACAAATCTTCGGCAAATCCAGGTTTCTGTCATTTTGGAGAAATTGATCCAAGCAAGCAGAGCAGAGATTGAGCTCGAACAAGAGGGACGGGCCAAAGAGCGCAATAATCTGCGCTGACGATGCCACGCAAGCAATACAGGTGGGCACGCGTACGTTGCGCTTGAACTGCTCCAAGGCATGCGTGTTGTTGTGCTTCAGGCAGTTGTGGATCATCACGCGGTGATCATTGAACTGATCGGCCAGAGACAGTTGCAGTTTGGCAAAGCGATCCAACACGTCTGCCATCCATCACAGCACAAGCAGATGAGCTGGCCGACGCCCAAACGCAGTGGAGCCTGCACCCGTGCCCACACATACCGAGTTGCTGCAGTAGCATGCGCCGACGCTCCACAAACCGAGCATCACTATTCCCCAAATACAGGCCGATGAGAAAAAGAACCAGAAGATCCAAGCAAACAAGGCCCCACTGTTGGTGTGGATGGGGACTTGCATGGCGACAGGCCATGGCCGCCATGCATGGGTGTCGGACACAAAAAAAAAGAAAGGACCCGACAGCGAACCACACACACACGCGCGCACCTGCCCGTGACCGTAGTCAATCGGCGTTCCGTTGTCAGAACGATGGTGCAAATTTCCGCCACCTGCGTAGGTGACATTTTATGGCAGCCGTTGAGCCAAACGAGACAAGGTAGTGTGAGGACAATGCCACACGACCCTGGTCAATTGAATGCGGCAAGCGCCAAGGTCTCTGGCAAATAGCTGACCTCATTGACCAAGGTTGTGTCGAACCCGGTACCCTGCTGATCCACCGCCAATTGAATCAAGGCCTCGACCAAGCGAAGCAAGCGCTGAAGAAACGCATCTTCCGACAGCAATCCCTGTGCCTTGATTTGCTCAGTACTAGTCAACTCGGCAGGAACTACAGCCAGCAGCGATGGAACGTCCTCGCTGGCCTCCTCCATAGCACGGCAGGCACTCTATGTATGCGTCGGGCAGCGGGGCCACACGCATGCAGACGCACGTGTTATGGGGTCAGCCTAGACAAATGACATGGGCAGAGTTGCATATTCCCCCAGCAGCCACGCACAATGATGATGGAGCATGCAATGACAGCGTAATCAACGGCCTCCATGGCTTCTGTTGACGCAGTCCAAGGTGCAGCGATGCGCTTGATCATGGGCTCGAACAAGCGTGTCACACCCGAAACCTGACGATAGAAAACGTCCTCTGGTTGCAAAGGGCTTCCAGGCGGCACCACCACTGCCGACGCCATGGCAGCGGCAATGACGCCAGCGGCAGATCTAGCGCAGCATGAAATGACGCACCAGCCATGCACACCAGAATGAGGATGCACCGCATGATCATTAGCACAAAGGCAAAGCAAACATTCAGTGTTACGCACTCGTCTTTGTTCTGCATCTGGCGGCACAGGACAGCCATGTGCAAGCGTTCGTGGTTGTGCAAGAGAGCCCGTTGCGCAGTTGCATAAGACACTTCTCCCGCGAGCCCTTGAGCGACAGAGCCAAAGGCACTGATGAGAGCTTGATGCTGCAACAGCTTGTCTTGCAACTGCTCGGCAATGATGAGCTTGCTGGTAGCAGCCGTGGCTAGGTCCAACGGAGTGGATGTCTGCTGCTCTTGTGCCCAACGAGGATCGCGCGCGGGCACAGCGTCCAGAATGGCCAGGCTCAGCTCTTGAAATTCTTCGAGCAGCGTCGGCGACAAGTTCAGAGGCACGTGGGCCCCGGGTTCAGCCAGCAATGTGCGAACAGCTTGGCGCAATGACATGGCACCCGAGTCCTTGAATTGCAAACAAACGCAATGCCATGCACCCAAAAGCAATGCACAAGCCAAGTTCGACAAGTGTCAGTCGGCGCAAAGGGGCAGCACGACATGGCTGAGGAGATAAAAAGAAAGCAACAAAACATAAACATCGTCGTACCGATGAAGCGTGCGACGCAGAGTGCGCGTGTTGGAGACTGGAGGGACCTCGACCACCGGTCGAGGCGGGCTCAGCCGGCCGCAATGCCACAACACACCACTGATGGCGGTCTGAGATGAATAGCATGCCTCCCTTGCTCATGTCTCCGCCTAGTACGGGAAGCCGTGGGTTGGCGTTGACCGCAACCGCCTGCACCTGATCCGAGTCGGCCCCCACTAAGATCCCACAGGCAGGTGACCATTAGACAAGCAGAAGTAGTATGATGGGCCGAGGTGTGAGTGTCTGTGTGTTGATTTTCTTGTTTTTCTTCCAGCAGTAACGCTCGATGCATGTGCAGAGATTCGCGAGCACGTACAAACGCAAGTGTGCACCGAATTGTTGACTGGACAGACAACGGCCGCCCGGGTGGCGTCCAAGAGAGCAATGCGCGCAGCCAAATGCAACGCGAGCTGTTCCTCGTCCCACGGAGTGGAGTAGTGCAGCTGATGCCACAAAACTGTGGGAGCCTCGGTGGTGCTGTGAAACTGAAAGTGGCCTAACCAAAGACAGACGGCCGAGGTAATCCAAGGGGGACAAGGTGAGAGCAAGAGCCTAGTTTCAAGCTGCATCGGCGTGCTGTTGAATGAAGCCATAGCAAAATGCACGAAAAAACGCCTGGCGCACCTAGCACGTAGTTGGCAGAGTTGTCTTGACCAACCACCAGTACCAAAACAGCGACGTTCCTGCTTGAACCACGCAATCGTATGCACGCATGCGGTATCATGAGGTTTGGATGAACATGGCGACGCATACCCAGCGCCCATCAAGTTTCAAGCTAGCCCCCGCTTCAACGCGCATTGCTATCAATCAATTTCCCCGTGAAACCCTCAAGCTGTGTGATGTGTAGGAGACGTACAGCCATTGGTCGGGCTGAACACAGGCGTCGATCACGTGCAAGTCCTGAACATCAAGGCCAAAGGTTTCAAGCCTGGCGGCCAAATTGGCGTCGAGACGATTCTGGTCGTCCCAGAGCTCATGTTCATTGACGAGGCTGAGACGCATGCGCGTGTCGAGCTGATGCAGGCGAACGCTGCGGGTAGTGAGGGTGACGGTGCATGGCACGCTGCCGAGGGAAACGCTGCCACATGCGCGTACAAGCTGCACGGGTGCGCGCGCCACAGTGGCACCCAGCCCAAAGAAACTGCTCATGGTTCGACCAAGCCCCGAAAGGAGAGAACCTAGGGCATCAAGCGATTGGGGCAAAGCATACATAGACGGCAATGATGATCAGAATTGGGGGCCTAAGCACGAGGCTGGCGGCATTTGGGGGCGTGCGCATACCCTCATTGGGATCGGCCATGCGGTGAAAGCTGGCACTGCCTTGCTCGCCACTGTAGGCGATGCAAAAGCGATGGCCAAACTCGGTCACAAGAGCAAAGTCTTGATTTCGGAGAAGAATGAGGTCCAAAGGCACGTCCTTGCCGTCGCCCTCGCGCTCGGTGCCAGCCAGCACCTGTGCGGAGGTAGAAAGCGAAGGGTCTTGCTGCAGGTCGGGAAAGACCCACAATTGACCAGCTAAATTCAGCGGTGGGCCATTTTGGGCAGATGAGTGAGATGTGGGAGCGACGGGATGGTGGCATGATTGGGAGATGCCCAGCGCAAGGGTGGGCAGGACGATGGGGTCTGCTTACCATCATCCACAACGAGGAGGACTTCGGTGGGTCCCGAAGGCGAGGGAAGCTGCATGGCATAGGCATTGCGGGCCTCGACGCGGGATGGGAAGCGAAGCTCCACATACCACTGTTGGCAGTGTCGGCAGGGAGATGAGCATCAGCATTAAACCAGACACTGACATTGCGGGAACAAAGTATGGCTGAAGTTGTGTGTGCATCAAAGCACACCATACGCATTGAGCACACCGCGACGCACCGCATCTGGCCTGGTAGACCACACGAAGAGCTGCCAACTGTTGCTGTGCTGACGCTGGGTCAGAATAGCGCGCCCGTCCAAGAAGCGCGCTTGCGAATCCTCAAGCGTCAGCTGAGTCGCAATAGCCTCTGGCAACGTGGCATGCTTCTGCAGCTGATGAAAGCCTGTTCGCTCCAGCACGTCACTGATATCACCCGACCAAACGCAAGAGCAAAGGCCCACCAATCGCACAACATCCAACGTCAGCGCTCGCTCACACAAGGTCGCACGACGGCACGCAAAGGCGGCTACACATGTCAAGCCGGCCCCAGTCGAAAAAAAAAACCCCCCCCTCAACTCACCTCGCAACAGCCGAGTCGCGCCGCGGCATGCCTACATGGCGCGGCGTCCGAGACCGGTGCGGGCTCACCAGCACACTGCCCCCGCGTTTACTCCGCGCCGGCGAGAACATGCTGTCGGTCTCTTGAAAAAAAACGAAAAAAAAATCAGATTCGAGGTTGAGAGACAAGAGCGTTTTGTTGGCGTTGGTTCAGGGAGACAAGCCATTGAAATAAAAATTGTAGAGATTCCTCAAAAAGGGCGCTTCTAGCAGTGGCATTTTTATAAGGAAATCAGAGATACTGAACAAGTCGAAGCCAATCCCAGAGAGAGGGTAAAAGCTAGTTTAAACGTTAGGGACAAAGTGAAGGTGTGAATTCAACTTGAGAGAAGGAACTAAAATTGAAAGATCCTCTCTAATGTTGAATACAATGCTGTGAAATTTTAAATTTTTTTTCTTTTTTTTTTCTTTTTTTTTTTTCTTTGTGAGAGTCAAGAGTCATAAAAATGGCGGCTCGAGCAGCAGAGGACGTGGATGCCGCAGAGGAAGTGGGTGAATTGGAGCCTGAAGGCGGTATGTGACGAGTGCTTGGGTGGCTTTTAACGGCCCCAGGAGCCGATTATGTGCCGCAAGTGCGTCTGATGCATTCGGGCATAGACGACGTAGGGTCGGCGGTGGGCAAGGAACCGTTTGATGTGCACCAATACCAGGAGATTGGCAATGACGGCGTATGGTCGCTGTCTTCCCGCAAGCTTGACTTTGGCATTCGCCTCCTGCGCGATGGTCGCGATGAGACATATTGGCAGTACGTTTCCTTCTCTTGCTCTCGCCACGGCTGGGGCGCATGCGAGTTGTCAACCCGTGCTTGCCCGCACCCCCTTGCTAATCATGCGACACAACGACGTTGCGGACGGGCAGATCGGATGGCCCCCAGCCGCACACCGTGACCATCTCCTTTTCTAGCCGGCGCAAATTTGCGGTCAGTCCTGAGTGTACCAATGGCGATAGTCAGCCCTGAGCGGTTGGTCCGAGCTTCTTGGATGCCTGCCCGTCATTGCGCCGACGCGAACATTGTGCTCATGACGAAACTGTTCCAGTACATGGCGCTCAACACAAGCTATCAGCACGACGAGAGCTATACACCCAAGGTTGTCGAAATCCGAGCAGGACCTCGCATCGCCAACCTTACGGTAAAGTCCTTGCTTTGGTGCTGATATGGATCCATCACCTTGGGGGCCCCCCGCGTCTCTTGAGCAGCCTACGGCTCACTCATCTCGGGCATCGATCCACTAGGAGGTAGTGACGGCCGATGTAGGCATGAATGAGGGCTGGTTTTACATTAAACTGGAGAAGGAGGACGGGTGCGTCCAGCTAGCCCCCGTCCCTTCCTCACGCTTGGCTGGCCACGCTCATTACGCGTCAATGCTCTGCCCATGCACTGTCCCGCACAGGCAACCCATCGAAGACTTTGTGATCCAGTTGGCAGTGTTGGTGAATCATCAAAATGGCAAGGACACGCATCTTCGAGGCGTCCGCATCTATGCGCCGCGTCAACGGTTAGTCAGAGACCAGTGCTTGCGCCCAATGCGAGCCAGCAGGTCGCGCTCACCGCGTGTTCTGCCAATGCGAGGGGTCTGAATAGGCAACTCACGCCTCTCAGCGAGCCCACCATGCCTTTTTCAACAAATGCCTTTGCCCGCTTTGAATTCATTCGGTAGCCCAAGCGTCAAGCTTGACTCCACCGTGTCGGGGACCCCCTCGAGCTGATTGTGTGTTTGACTGTTGAATTTTGTGCGATTTTCAGCCTTTTTTTTCTCTCTCTCTGCTCGCAATAAATGATTAATTGATTTCCTTGAACGACGCTGCCGTCTAGTAGCTCCTCCTTTTTGTGAAGGCCACCAATGCCCTGAGTTTTGATCATTTTGACGGCCTCTCACCCAAAGCTATCCATCAAAACTTTGGTTGAAGTGTATACTTCAACAAGCATGTTTTCTCTGCGAAAATTGATTTGATTTGGGAGATTGAGCTTTGGTGAAATATGGTTAGAGCTCCATCAGATCAGGAGAGAGGGATTCAAACGCGTGGATCGCTGTAATGGCGGCGATCATCTTGTCGCGCGCAGCAGCGTCAGAGATCTTCAACAATAAGACGACATCTCATTCTCATAGATTGACGCTATGATGTTCTGAAAGCCTTCTGACGAATTCACGGGGGCGAACTCAACCGACAGACGGAGAGGCAAGAGGCAAGAGGCATGGGGGCAAGAGCGTGGGAGTCCGTGGGCGCGCGGGAGTGTGAGAGTATGCGGGTATGAGCGTGTGAGAGTGTGAGTGTGAGTGTGTCAAAGATAGCGTATGTGCGCGCACGTACGAGCAAGCCAGCAAGATCCCGAACCATCCTGCCATCGTGCCATAGTCGGCGAACACCGCCGAACAAGCACGGAAAAGCTGACATTTTCCTTCACAAAACATCTGACAAAAGATCTTGTGAATTTGTATTGCTTGACCGTGAAAAACCGATCTTGAACCTATTCAGCAGCCTGAACCGCATGGGTGGAGAGAGAGAGAGAGAGAGAGAAGAGAGAGAGAGAGAGAGAGAGAGCGAGAAGAGCGAGAAGAGCACTTTTCTATTTGGAGCACAGCAACCCTTCCGCTGCCCTTTTGAACCTTTCGCGTAAGTTTTTTTTTTTTTTTTTTTTTTCCGCGTGTCGGTTTGTCGGTCGCTGCGTTGGGCAGGCAGCTGAAGGCTGCGTGGAAAGGGGTTGATGGCTGTGACTGACAGGCATAGCATGCTCTGCCCTTTGCTGGTTTTGTGTTTGCTGATCTTTCTTGCCCTCGGCGCGACCCACCTCACTCTCGTTTGCTTGCCTGTGCACTCGGTTGGTATCACACAGAATGGCTGAGGAATCCATGGTCCTTCGCGGCGAGTTGGCCGGCCACTCTGGCTGGGTCACTCAGATCGCCACCACCCCCGAGGCTCCCGACATGATCCTGTCGGCCTCTCGCGACAAGACTGTCATTGTGTGGCAGCTCACCCGCGAGGATGGCTCGTACGGCTTTGCCAAGCGTGCCCTCAAGGGTCACTCCCACTTCGTCTCGGACGTTGTCATCTCGTCCGATGGCCAGTTTGCCCTCTCCGGCTCTTGGGACCGCACCCTCCGCCTCTGGGACATCCGCACGGGTGAGTGCACTCGTCGCTTCGTCGGCCACGACGGTGATGTCCTGTCGGTCGCTTTCTCCGCCGATAACCGCCAGGTTGTCTCGGGCTCGCGCGACAAGACCATCAAGCTCTGGAACGTCCTTGCCGAGTGCAAGTACACCATTGGCGGCGGTGACTACCCCGGCAAGCACGATGCCTGGGTTTCGTGCGTCCGCTTCAGCCCCAACACCACCAACCCCATCATTGTGTCGGCTGGCTGGGACTACAAGGTCAAGGTCTGGGATCTGACCAACTGCCGCATCCGCACCGACCACCTCGGTCACCAGGGTTACCTCAACACGGTCACCGTCTCCCCCGATGGCTCTCTCTGCGCCTCGGGCGGCAAGGACGGCAAGGCCATGCTCTGGGACCTCAACGAGGGCAAGCACCTCTACACCCTTGATGCCAAGGACAGCATTGAGGCCCTCACCTTCAGCCCCAACCGCTACTGGCTCTGCGCCGCCGCTGGCTCCAGCATCAAGATCTGGGATCTCGAGAGCAAGAAGCTCGTCGATGACCTCCAGGCTACCGCCACCGGCTCGGTCCCTCCCCGCGTCCTGTCCCTGGCCTGGTCCGCCGATGGCCAGACCCTCTTCGCTGGTTACACCGACAACGTCATCCGCGTGTGGCAGGTCAGCGCTTAAAGCGCCCCTTTCATACCCGATCTCGTCGCGGGCGGCGCCATGCTTGAACGTTTAAGTCAAGTGTCGTTGTCGACCCAACCTGCATCCATATTGCCGTGGGAAGAAGTCATCTGATCCGAGGGCTATGAATTTGAGTTTGTGGTCCTTTTGATTGTTATCCCGATCTTGTTCATGTGGTGGCGTGACAGCCGATGCCTTTGCCATCGGAGGAAGGTCCCATTTTCTGCGCCACCGTCAAAAGCGTATCTTGCTCCTGCTGTGCTCTTTGCGCTAATGATTTCTGTACATGGATCCACAAACCCTTGCTCAAGCTTTGGCATCTGATGATCTTCAATTCATGGTCAAGAAAAAACGACAGTCTTTCCTTTTCCATTCAAAACTTTTGAAGCTTCTGATCATTCCCTTATTGCCCCCACCTTTGTAGTAGACAAAAAAGGTTTCGAACGGAAAACAGGAGGTCTATTTATAGGGCGTGTGAAGTTGGTAGCATCGATTAGGGGTGTGCTGTGCTCCACAAGGGATCGCGCATGAAGAGAAGGTTAGCTCAGCTAACAGATGAACATCCAGATGCTCATCATCTTCAGAAAAAAAAAAAATTTACAAGCAAAAGATGTGAGTGAGGAAGAGAAAAAGAAACGCTTTGCGCTCATCACGCGGGTAACGTGACTACTCGAAAAAAAAAAAGACGAAAAAGAAGGAAGACGGGAGAAAAAAAAGAGACAATTACTGCTCGGACACGCCCAGAAGCAGCTCAAGACTGCCTTGAAGGGCGATGAGCTGTTTTTGTAGTTGCAGCTCGGCAGACACCTTGTCGCGCAAGCGCAAAAAGTAATCGTCGACCTGCGCCGAAAGGCCCAGGCCGGGTGCATACAGGTCCAAGAGCACCTCCGACACCATCACCAAAAGACGCGTGTGTCGAGGGTCGTCAATGTTTCTGACACAAAACTTGAGGATGGGGACGAGAGATGACTCGTCACGCCCACCCAACGCCGAGTGAAGAGCATTGCGCTCGGACAGCTCTTGCAACACACTGGCAACGATGATGGACGAGTAGTGGCGTTCAAAAACAGAGTCCAGGGCGGCGGCATAATGGAACTTTTGCAAATGGCGGTCAAACGCCTTCAGCTTGGGACGGTTGTTGCCTGAAATGACAGTGTCCACGGCCGTAGGCTTATATTGCAAACCCCGCACACGGTAGCGGTAGGTGCCACCACGTGGAGCCTTGCGAGGCACACGATCTGCCTTGTCGGCATCCCCCGACTTGACACTGGCACGATGCCGAACACTCAAAAGTCCCGCAGTCATACCAACAGCCAGGTGCGAGTCATCCGGCTAAGAAAGTCGAGAAATAGACCAAGTGAGGGGATGTACCACGATGGGCTCCAGAGCAGGCCACCAGCCGCAAGACACAAAAAAGAGCTCAAAGCTTACCGCCACATCAAGAGAAAGAATGGGGTTGGAATACTTGAAACTGTTGAGAACCCGCCAGTCGGACACGTCATACACCTTGACCATGCGATCAAGGCCTGCGGAAAAGCAGTGGTGGCCAGAGCCATCGAGACAAATGTCGGTAATGGTCTTTTGATGGTTTGACACGCTTTGCAGCATGCGTCCACCGGCCACAAGGTCCCATACTTGCAAGCGGTTCTCGCCTAATAAAGTGGAGTTTAAGATCAAAGCGGGCAGCTAACAAGAGCGGATTGCCTGAAAAAAAAAAAAGAGAAGCTGCGAGAAAAAAATAAGGTGAACCAACCAGCGGTGACGGCAAGAGCACCGTGCGGGAAGGCAAGGACGGATTCGATGGGACCACCATGATCAAAGGTCATGGCACACGTGGACCTACACAAACACGTGGCAGAAAATGAATCGGCTGGTAACAAGCACCAACCACCCGCACGTGATAAATCTTGCAACGTACATGCGCGGGTCCCAAAGTCGAGCTTTGTGGTCATAGCTACCAGTCAAGAAGGTATCGCCGTTGGGCACAGCACAACCGGCACGAACGTGATCCTAAAAAGTTTGGACAATTGCAGCACATGAGGGAAAAGAAATGCAACCAGGCACACGATCGATAGGTGGTGTCTTTAAAAAAAAAAAAAAAGAAAAAGAAAAAGAAAAGGCACCAGGGGGCTGACCCCTTGGCAGCACACGAGCTCAGGAAAAATTTATCGCTCAGAAACAAAAGTCTCGGATATATGCTTGTCAAAAGCATCATTGCTCAGTATGCTGAAGTGCCGAAAGGGGCGCATGTTTTAAGAAGACGCGAGGCACGAATTTGAACGAGAAACTCTCACCTCATGACCTTCAAACGTAGCGACCACTTGCTCAATCGCAACGTCCCAAAGTTTGACCAGGCTGTCATCACCTCCGCTGAACACTCGCGTCGTGTCGGTACAAAACTTGGCCACAAATGACGCCCTGTCAGACACGAATCCGAGGCGCACGGCGTGAGTTGCAGCGAAGAAACTAAAGTTTGGAAAAACAGCACAGACCCGACACAAATACAAGCACCCCATACGGGAATATTGGTAAATCGCAGTACCTGCTATGGGCATCGAAGCGACGCAGCGTTGAGCGACCGGCAGCATCATGAAGAGCCACGCCGCCGTCACGTGTGGCAGTAACTAGAAGCTTGCCATCCTCTCGGTAGGCCACGCCTGCGGTAAAAAAAAGTTGTAAGGAAATGAGTAAACACGCGAGCTCAAGTTTGGTAGGGAAGGCTAGAAAGATGGAACATGGATGCCTGGTGGTGAACGTACTCGTGACATCAGATTTGAATCGAGTCAGCGTGTGCTTGACACGGTTAGTTCGAGCTTCATAAATGACAACTTGAGCGCCAGCAGCGACAGCCAGATTGTGAGGTGCCGTGGGCGAATAGGCTGTGCTCAACACGTGACCATTCTCCTTGTGCACCACGGGAACCTAAAAGTCGCACGGCGCACGCAAAGGGGATGAGTCTGAATGGAATGGCCTGCCGTTGCGCCTCTTCTATTTTCAGTGGGGGTTTTTTTGTCAAGATTACAAGAGCTTACCCGAAGCTGTGACCAGTAGCGCTCCTGCGCAGGCTGACTCTTGACGAGTCGCGGGTACTGCTTGACCACAACAGGTTGAAATGCCGTTGCCATTGTTCTCGGTGTGCTTGCACGAAAATTAAAAGTAAAAAAAAAGCCCTTGCACACACAACCCCAGCCGGGGCTCAAACACCCATGGACACCAATCCAACTCTATCTAATAAAAATGTAGAGCGAGCAGGACACAGCGCCCGGGGCCATTGACACGCACCCCGACAACACCACACACAGTGAACAGGGAGAGAGGAAAATGGGAGAGAGCATGACCATGTGGTCTAAAGCTGCAACGTGGTCACACATGTGTGTGTTCTTGGCTTGGACCAACCTCTGGTCGTACGGTTTGTTCGCGGTAGACGCTCTGACTTTACTTTGATTTCCCATTATGTTGGCTGTGGTGCTATCTCCTTCATGACCATCTCTCTGCCAATGGGGATCACCTTACTCATACTCTCTTTCGCCATGCGGACCATCAGTCTCCACAAAAGACCAGATCTCCTCAGAGACCAATTTATTTTATCGTGACTGCATTCGATAATATCACCACGACTGTGACACGCTCCAGCACCGTGAAGGAGGTGCCGGCGCTTGGTTACGCATTTTTGGCCCGAGTCGCGAGTCAGTCGCTCGCCGTCGCCGTCGCTGTCGCCGTGCTTCGCCACTTGCGTTCGCCGCCGCTTGTTGCCTGTGGCCGTTTTCACCGTTCGAGCGTCGTCTGCCTTGTTGGCATCGCCCTCGTCGCCACGCCGCGATGAAGGTGTTTGTGAACCGTGTCGATAGCACCCTTGGCGGCCTCCTAGCCAAGGTCAGTCGGACCTCCATGTGTCCTTGCTTTGCTCCTTTGCTCCTTTGCTCCTTTGCTCCTTTGCTCCCTCGCTCCACTACGCACTTCGCGCTCAACTTACCGCCTTGTAACGCTCACAACTTTGTCTTGGCCACCCTTCTTGCTACGGGTTGTGACAATGCTCCTGGACACTTGATAGCGCTTGCTGGAGCGACCACCAGCTGGGGAAGATGAAGAGGAGGTCGTGGACATTTCTCCCATCGAGGTCGTGGGCTCGCTGAGCGCCGATCCCAACGCCCGCGCCCCGAGCTGGGTCTCGTCCGTTGTATCGGTGCGTCAGGGCCAGGCCCACTCCTCTAAACCCCTGTGAATGGAATCGTCCGTCACGTCCCCCGCACACGGACCTCCCCCGCCCCCACTCGCCATCTCATGCATCTTTTCTTCTTTCTTTTATTTTTCCGACCTTTCGCTCCAGACGGCCGATCGTGCCAGCTTTGTGGCCGCCACGGCAGACTGCGACAGTTTTATCTTCGACATCAGCCAGGATCCCGCCGAGGCCAGCCTGGCCACATGGACAGCCCAATGTGCGTGAATGATTCCCGTGTTGCTGTGCATCATTTGCTCGCTTTGGCTGCCATCCCTCACAGCCAACTCCTGTACACAGACTACAAGGAGCGGCTGGAGGACATTCTTAAGCCCCGCACCATTTGCTGCGTGTCCTCCGTCCTCACTTGGGCCTCCACCAAGCCTGCCGATCCAGATGCGGAGGAGGTGGCCCCTCTGGTTGAGGATGAATTTCGCCGCCGCCGAGCCCATCGCTCCTATCGTACTCTTCTCGATGCCGAAAAGACCATCACAAAGTGCGGCAAGAAAACCGATGGCAAGCTATTTACCTCTGTCATTTGTGCTGGCCTCGTCTACGGCCGCGGCGAGACAGCCTTGCATAGCCTCTTCCGCCGTGCCTGGGAGATGAACGAGGAATCGCTGCCCGTGTATGGTGGCGGTGCCAACTACATCCCCACCATCCATGTTGACGATCTGGCCAGTACCGTCATCGACACGGTTCGCTCCGGCTCCGGTGGTCAGTACATCGTGGCTGTTGACGAGTCCAAGCACACGCTGCGCGAGATTGCTGAATGCATCAGCAAAAATCTCGGTCCAGGCAAGATCCACGACGCAACCCTTGAGGAGGTATGCCACGCGTTTTTTTCTTGTTTGGTTTTTTTTCGCCGACTTGTACCCTTTCCCTTCGCACGTGCAATGGGCTCGTCGCGGCGAGTGTGTTAAGGCCCATGACGCCCCTGGTAGGCCTCATGCCGCCACGCTCTTATCGTACTGCCTTAGGGTCTGCTGGATCCCTTCTCCAGTCAGAGTGAATTTGATCTGCTCAGTATCAATCAGCAGTTTGACCAGGGCAGCATCGCAGAGATGGAGTTTGAGTGGCACTCGGCCGAAGGTCTAATTGCCAACATTCGCAAAGTCATTCGCGAGTTCAAGGCAGCACGACACCTGAATGTATGTCCGTTCGAGTTGAACCCGGATGGACTCACATGCTGGCGCGCTTGCACGGCGGCAAGCCTTCACTGCCACCCGCTACTCCTCGGTTGACTAACCTAACCCATCTGCTCGGATTGATGGTGGGCATCAATAGCCGCTGCGTATTATCCTACACGGACCCCCCGCCGTGGGCAAGACCACGCTGGCTCGCTTCCTGTCCCAGCACTACAAATTGCCCTACGTCTCTGTGCAGGTGCGTGCCGCCGTCCGTTTTCACGCGTTGCGATTCAAGACTGCAGCCCTTACTCGTGTTGCTGCCATCCTTCCTCTTGCTATGCGCATTCTTTGTTCCTTCTTTCCTTCAAAGTCTGCCACCGAGGACAAGATCAAGGCGTTGCGTGCTAGTGCCGCCCGGATTGAGAACGGCGAAGATGATCTCGAGGAATCAGAAGTCGAACAGGCCCGCTTCGATGCCGATGAGCTGGCAGCCATCGAGCAGGAGCTCCAGGACTCAGGAACTCACGACCTTTCGCAGACCATCTCTTGGTTGCGCGAGAAATTGCTGTCCATGTCTTGCCTGAACCAAGGCTATGTTCTGGACGGCGTTCCAGGGGATGAGGAGCAGCTCAAACAGTTGATGGCAAGGGGGGATGAGGACGAGCTCGAGGAGGGTGATGACGAAGTTGCAGACTCAGACGGCCCTAGCCCGCGCCTTGCACCCGACTTTGTCATCCTGCTGGATGCTCCTGACGCTTATCTGACTGATCGTGTCCTCAGCCTGCCCGAGCAGGAAGTGGCTGGTACCCGCAACACAGAGAGCGGTACGCAGCGTGGTTGAGCAACCTCTTGAACCTTGGGCTCTGCGTTGCCTCGAGCTCTTCTGATTGGGTGCGGTTGCCTCATAGAATACCCATCTCGCTTGGCCAAGTGGCGCGCCGAGAACACCGACGAGCGCACCGTCCTCAACTATTTTGATTTGCATGAGATTCACCCCATGACAATTGGTATGTCACGCTGCCGCACGCCTGGTCGCCTCACACATGCACATGGCTGGAATGCCTGGCCTGACAGCAGCGGTGTGGTGTCTTGGCCCCAGACGTTCAAGGCTTGAGCCTGGACCTGGTGCAGCGACAGTTGCTGGACGTGGCGGGTGCACCGCGCAACTATGGACCATCGCCTGAGGAAGCCGCGGCTCTTGAAGCTGAGCGTGCGGCTCGTGAGGTATGTCGTTGCATCGGTCCAAGCAACTGGCGGCATCTTGTCGACCTGCCTTACCAGATTCGGTGACCTGAACTGATTCTTCGTCTGTTCTCTTGATCCTGGTCTCTGGATGCAGGAGGCCGAGCAAGCCGTGCGAGAAAAGGAAGAGGCTGCTGCGCGTGCCATCGAGGAAGAGCGGGCTGGTGCAGCGCAGGCGGAATGGTCAGCCAAGCGTGACACGGTCATGCGGGAGCAGCAGCAGGCTTTGGATGAGGCCTCTTTGCCCTTGCGTACATTTTTGATGCGCCACGTCATGCCCACGCTTACTCAGGTACGACTTCTTCCGTGCTGGTCCGCAACGTCTTTTCTCCCTACCGGCGTCCTCGATCTCATCCACTTGTTCTTGGCTTGTGCTTCTTCCTTGCATGGATTGGCTCTTGTTTCCTCTTTGTGTGTGTGTTTCCGTGTTTCCGTGTTCTGTTTCTTCAATGGATGGGTAATAGGGTCTACTCGAGGTATGCAAGACTAAGCCCGAGGATCCGATTGATTTTCTGGCCGAATATTTGTTTCAGAACAACCCTCAGATTGATTAGATCATAATGGAGACAATTTGCAAGCGCGACACCGCCTTGTCATGTCGCATCGTTGTGTGTTCCGTTTCGAGCCCAGCAGCCTTGTTTGTTTTGCAGCTGGAGCATCATATTCCTGTCTTTTTCTGCCCTTTTTTTTTGTGTCTTGTCTCTTGATCATTGCGTCGTGCCCGAGGCACGGGACGCTAGACGAGCAAATTGACCTGCTTGCTAGTACGATATTGTGCCTTCACATCCGGGTGTTGATTACTGAGCAACGTGCGACATGGAAGCAAAAGGCGTCGTGTTGTGTGTCAGCGGCTGCTCGAGGCCAACGCGACAGAAACATGAGCCCGGGGTGTTTGTCCAAAACTTTTGAATTCCAGGGACGCGTTGCGGCAAAGTCTCCCCTCGCGAATTGGACAACAACAAAGCATACGCGACGGGGGCAGCAATGGCAAAGTGGAGGACAACAGGGCAATAACCAACAAGTACTATGCAGATGACAGTATGGAGCAACAACCGACCGCCACCTGTTCTGACCAAAGACACAACAGCCAGCACCGAAGAAAAAGGACCAAAGAGAAAAGAAAAAGGAAAGAGGCGACTGAACAAAGCAGAATAAAAAGAAGAGACACAAATGGGGGTGGGGAGAGAGAAAGAAAATGAAAAGAAGCACAAAGCGGCAAGGAGCTCCGAAAAGAAAAGAAAAAATTCAGAGTCCGGAGACACGTGTGTACCTTCACAAATGCAAATTGCTGCCGCAATCAACAGAGCCTCTGATCCGTATCGAGGCACGCAACGCGTGTGATTGCATGTGTGTGGGCTTTGCTGCGCTGCCATGATCTCATCCACCATACATCATGAGCCCCTTCATCTTGTTTGCTTTGTTGGGACAGGGCCCAGCCAAGCTGGCGGCAGCTCGAACCGGGTCGCAGGGAGCTGCTCAGCAGCAGCCTCCGCCACCGCTGCTAACGGGCTTGCCTGCCTTCATGCTGACAGTGCCTTTGCTGGTGTCGTTTGATGCACCGGCAGGGCCCATACGGGCCTTGATCTCCGAGGCCATGGTCATAAAGGCCTGCTCAACGTTGGTAGCACTCTTGGCCGAGGTCTCGAGAAAGGGGATACCGCGCTCATCCGCAAAGGCCTTGGCGGTGGTGTAGTCAACCTGCTTCTTGGACTGCAGATCGCTCTTGTTGCCAACAAGCAGCTTGTTGACGTTCTCACAAGCATAACGCTCAATCTCGGTCAGCCACTGCTTGACATTGTCAAAAGATTCCTGATGATCGATGCATGGCCCAAGGCAAGCGAGTCAGTCCCAGGCACATTCGGCGGCCGACTTTGGAACCAGGTCAAGCTGTATGCAGGAGAATGGGAGGAGGGAGGCTCACCTTGTCAGTGACATCGTAGACGACAATGATGCCGTGGGCACCACGGTAGTAGCTGGACGTGATGGTGCGGAAGCGCTCCTGGCCGGCCGTGTCCCACTGTGTATGTACGAAAGAACTACGGTCAGTGTCACGTGGTGGCAACACCGCAAATGCATGTGGGTGAGTACACGTACGATTTGGAGCTTGATGGTCTTGCCCTCGAGCTCGATGGTACGGATTTTCTAATGGGGTGTCAGGAAGGGGCAAAGGGGAAACTGGTGAGTGGGAATTTCGGGAAACGCTTGCGAGGAAGAACGAGAGAAATATGACAAGCAGTGGGAGGAGGGAAATGAGCGCTGCATCGCTGCCAGCGAGCTCTTCTTTTCTCCAGCAGCGTAGTTTCGCGGGTAAGAAGAACAAGTGCGTTGCTTGTTTCGAACCGGGCACCAACAACGACTTGGCGAATGAATACTCACGAAATCGACACCGATGGTGCTGATGTAGGTTTCCGAGTAGGTGTCATCCGCAAAGCGCAGAAGAAGGCATGATTTGCCGACGCCAGAGTCACCGATCAGCAGGAGCTTGAAGAGATAATCACTACGAGGGGGAAACACCAAAGCAAGCAAAACCCCGCCCGAAGAGAAGGCACAGAATTTTGTTGGAAGAAAAGAAAGCAATGGTGGTGCCGTTAGAATTGGCACAAGCAGCGATGCTCTTCGGCTGTAGACCGGCAACTCTTCATGCCGCCACTTGGACAAAACTGGGCGATCAATAAAAAAAAAAGGAAAGCGGCAAGGCAACCAGGGGACGAGCGCGGGGCTAATTCGAAGAAAGCCAAGGGGAAGAAGAAAAAAAAAAACGAGCAAAGTGTGTGTGAAAGGGCAGCGGTGTCGGGGCAAACTCACTATTCGGGGTTCATGATGCTGGCGAGGTTGGTACAAAGGAAGCAGATTTAAAGCAAGAAGAGGATGTCTTGGCCCTAAAAGAGCGAATCGCGGTGCGCCCAGCGCGTCGGTCGAATTTGGATACGACACACACACACCCGAAAGGCAGTCCACGACACACCACCACAGGCGCAAAAGAGAGAGAGAGAGAGAGGAGTGAGTCGGGCACCAGGCAAATCTCAACTCGCCGCGAAGAAAATGAGGGTCAAGGTGTGGTTGCCCTGTCAGACAAGACAGTCGACAACAGCCGCGGCCCAAAACAAGAGGCGAGCCAAGAGGGGGCAGAGGCAACCCAGGCAGATGATGCATTCGATTCGAACCGAGTGTGCCGTGTTGGCGGATCCTTCCAAACCACAGGTGCGTATCGCGAAGTGCTGAAAAGCCGCAGAGTTGGTGAGACAAGAGAAGACAGAGAGAGAGACAGAGACAGAGACAGAGAAGAGACAGAGAGAGACAGAGAGAGACAGAGAGAGACAGAGAGAGACAGAGAGAGAGATTTAGAGAGAGAGAGAGAGACAGAGAGAGAGAGAGAGAGAGAGAGAGAGAGACAGAGAGAGACAGAGAGAGACAGAGAGAGACAGAGAGAGACAGAGAGAGACAGAGAGAGACAGAGAGACAGAGACAGAGACAGAGGTAGGGAGGACAGAGGTGGAGAGGTTGAGACAGAGACAGACAGAGACAGACAGAGACAGACAGAGACAGAGATACAGACACAGACAGAGGTTGAGACAGAGGTTGAGATAGAGGTAGAGACAGACATAGAGAGGAGAGACTGACAGCGCGACAAAGCCAAATGTCCACCAAAGCACTTTGTAGAGGAAAACAAAAAGAGAGAGAGAGACAGAGAGAGAGAGAATTCTTTTGTTCTTCCAGTTGCCGATGATGATGACAATATGACCATGCGAGCAACGACAAGCAGGCCTCCAAGATCGGAAGAGGTATGTTAGGGGGGCAACAGAGACGACGATGCGGAAGACGAGGAACGTCATGAGCCCGAGAGCGAAAAGGCAGTCGATACGATGGGCTTGCGGGGCGTTGGATTGGAACGGGTACGCGGTATCCGACGTCGGCGGCCTCCGCTGCCATGATGCCGTATCAGCCGCAAGCCCCGCCCCTTCCAAACCACAAACCCGAGCTTGCTACCAAGTGTCAACCTACTGCACCACCACAATAAGCGTGTTAATAAAAACACTTTCATCCCTTAAAGTGAAACAAAGCGTGATCGAATCCGATTTGCCCGAAAGAATTTACCATACACGGAAGATAATCGCGTACCAATCTCCAGTTTCAAAACTCGATCGTTTTTTTTATCATTCCGATGAAAATGGATGACAATTATTAGGTGTGATTAAACGTACACTTCCGTACACGCCTTGGTGTGTGCGTGTGTGTGTGTGTGTCTGTGTGTGTCTGTGTGTGACTGTTTGCAGTCCAGCGCATCGTCGTCGTCGGTCAGTCAGTCGGTCGGTCGGTCGGTCGGTCGGTGGTCGGTCGGGTGGCGGGCCTTCGGCTCTGCTCTCACACACGCACGCACGCACACGTACGCAGACGCATGCGCACAAGCACATATTTTCTTGTTGGACCACACTGTTCCGGATTAGTCTTTTTACTGTTTTCCCCCCACGGCCCTTGCTCTGCATACAAACGAGCCCCACTTGGGCGCTTTGCCCCCTATCATCGTTGCCTTGGAGCATGCGGCCCCTCTTGGTGTGTACCCGGTGGCAGCTCGGGTGGCTGCTGCTACTGCTTCAGCTAACTCAGCTGACGGCTGCGATCGGGAGCGGACAGGCCGACAAGGCCACAGGCACTGCTTTCAGTGTCGCAGCAGACGCAGACGCATCAACTACTGCCTTTTGTCGCGCCTATCATGACCTCGGCCACCCAAATCCAGAAACAGCCTGCCAACGCATCCGACGCGCCGATGACGCTACCACCAAACCTCCTGCTTCACACACCTCAAGTATCCCCTTGACGGATACTGTGGTGAGCACGACAGCAAAGGCCACCACCACAACAACTTCCACCACCACCACAACTTCCACCACCACCACGAGCACCACGAGCACCACCACCACTCCGCTGGTCCGATGCGATTGGAGCGGATGTACCTGGGACAACGTGACCGCCCGCTATCGCTGTGTTGTCGCTGACATGGCTCACTTTGACCTTCGGGACTGTCCGCCAACCTCGCTGCTGGATGTCGAGCTCGTGTGCAGCGATGGCCGTGCCGATCCCGCTCGTGCTAGCAAGATTGCCCCGTACATTAAAGATCTCGTTCTCTCGCCCGTCCTGACTCACGATGCATGCTGTCACATCTTCGAGCCCTCAGCGGTTTTCTCCGCCGTCACCACCCTCACCTTGTCGTGCGTCCCCTCGGAGCTGTTGTTTGCCAACACCTCCCTTCCCAACGTCACCCGGCTCACCCTGGCAGAGCTCGAATCCTCAGACATGACCGCCTCCTTCCTGCCCGGCCCCGTCTTCCCGGCCCTGCAAAACATTAGCATGCGCAATGCCCGCGTCCGCACCCTGGCCAAACACATGTTCGCCGATCTCAACGCCCTCACACACCTCGACCTCGCTGGGAATGGCATCACAGCCCTGGCCCGGGACCAACTCCCCAAGTCTGTTGGCCTCCTTGCCCTCGATCTCAGTAACAACAACCTGCGCCAAATGCCGGCCGACGTGTTTCAGGACCTCCAGCACCTCAACAGCCTCAACATTAGCGACAATGGCCTCACCACCGTGGCCGGCTCACTCCTGACCCACCTTGCCCAGCTTCAGACCCTCGATCTCAGCCGCAACGCCCTCCAGGAAGCCGACCAGCTTCACCTCCCCACCCACTGCGCCCTCACCGACTTGCGCCTGGCCGGCAACATTGTGGATGCCATTAGCGGAAGCATCATCGCCGGTTGTAGCCGTCTTCAACACCTTGACTTGGGCAGCAACCGCATCACCGTCCTGCCCCCTGCCCTCCTACAGTCACAAACCAATCTCCGACAGCTCAACGTGTCCCATAATTACCTCACGCAGCTGGCCGACGACTTGCTCACTGCCACGACCCATCTCGACGTACTGGACGCACGCGGCAACAACATCGTCAACATCTCGGGGGGCCTTTTGGCTCATGTGCCCGCCCTCACCCAGCTTTACCTTCAGGACAACAGCCTCAACCGCATTGCTTCAGGCGCCTTTAGCCGTCTGACCGCCGTTCACACCCTGCAGCTCAACGACAACGCCCTCACCACCCTCCCCGCGGGTCTGATCAACTCGTTCAGCCCTGCGCTTACCCTCCTCGACCTGTCCAAAAACAACCTGGCTTCCATTTCCATCGCCTTCCTCCGAGGTGCCTCTCGTCTAACTCACCTCTACCTCCAGTCCAATGAGCTGGTCGACCTCAGCCCAGGTCTGTTGGATGACACCACCAGCCTCATTGAGCTCCGGGCTGACGACAATCATATCGTGCACGTCACTGCCCAGCTCTTTGCACACACCACGCGCCTGCAAAACCTCAAGCTCAGCACCAACAACATTCAAACGATTGACGCAACGGCCCTGCGCGCCACCACCGCTCTCCAACGTCTCGACCTCGCTCAAAACTTCCTCCTACAGCTCCCCGCCACCGTTTTCAGCACCACCACTGCTCTACAGCGCTTGCACCTCGCCTCCAACCATATGCAGACGCTGGACGACGGCCTCTTTGTTGCCCTCACCCGGCTTCAGCTCCTCGACCTCAACAACAACGCGCTGAGCATTCTACCCCCAAACCTCTTCCAACCCTTGCGGATGCTCCAGGAGCTGCACATATCTGACAACAGTTTGGCCACCCTTCCCGCCGACTTTCCTCTTCCGGCCTCCACGCTCATCCTGGATGCCTCGGGCAATGCCCTGACCACGCTGCCCAGCCCATTGTTTCGTCTCTGCGCCGCCTCCCTTACCAACCTCGATCTGCAAGACAACGCCCTCGTGTTTGATGGCAGCATCTCCGCGCTCATTGGAAGCTTGCGCGCCCTTGTCTACCTGGACCTGTCCAACCGCGTCGATGAGACGGGCAGCGGCTCGCTGGATACGCCCATCCCCTCCTCCATACAGATATTGCACCTGCTCGGTGTCCCCCTGTCTGCCACGACCCTGGAGTCGGTCCTCACCATCCCCTCCCTCTCGGTGCTCTCCATGGGCCACAACACGCTTTGCGCCTCGGACTCGCTGTCGCTGACGGGGCTCCCGCAGCTGTCGGTCCTCGAGCTCTCCGAGCTGACCTGCACCAGCCTTTATCTGGACTTGCAGCAGTCACACCCCGTCGTGCGCATCTTTAACAACCCATCGCTGACCGTGATTGAGCTTGACGTGCTCGACGGTCTGGGCACGTTTGACGTCAGTAACAACCCAGCCCTTCGCCGAATCACCCCTGTCGACACCGATAGCTTCGACATTAGCTACACCAGCCTTCCCTACCAGTCGTACTATTGCAAGCGCATGGGCCGGCAAACCTTCCGCGCTCGCGGCATGCTGGCCCGGGACTCCTTTACGTACCAGATCGAGACGCTGCTCGACGACTGCTTTTCGCGAGTTTCGCTTTTGGATCTTTCGGACAACGGGTTTATGAACGATCAGGACATCTTGAACGAGACGGTGGGCCGGCCTTTTTTGGTGGCCAGCCGTCTGGCCGATCCTTATATCGAGACAGCGCGTGGGTGGCAGCCCCTGCAGAGCCTCTCGTCCTTTCCCTCCCTCGTACTCGAGAACATTCACGTGGTCTGCCATGTGCACAGCAGCTGGATTGAGGTTCGTGATGGCCTCTATGGGCAACTGCGAGAATGGCCGTACAACCGTTACGACTGCCGCTGTGAGCCAGGATACGAGATGAAGCTCAACTCGTGCAGTCGTAAGGAGCAGGTGGGCAACCAGCCCTGGGCCGTGGTGTTGCTGGTGTTGCTGGTTGTTCTCTTCTTTGGTGGCGTCGTGGCCTTTTGTCTCAAGCAAAACCACATCCTCCGCAGCCACCTGCACGAGTACGAGCAGTTGGCCACAGATCAGGGCCACAAGCTCTTGACCGTCACCGAGTCGGATGCCTAACTTGTGCACTAGAGTCGTCAAGCGTGTTGAACATCCTGTCCCCTAGAGCAACTCTGCTGCGCAGAGCTTTTGTGGCTACTTTTGATTGACATGTCAACTTTGTATTGTTTTGTTCTGCCTGCCATGACCAATCGAGACCCGAGCCAAGACCGATCGCCCTCTCCCCCCTAACGTTGCGCAATAGAAGCTTCTGTGCCCCTGTCGCATTGTGCAACAACCCCTTTGTCACCTTTGTCACACACAGAGCTCCTCACAACACACACACACACACACACACAACGTGTGTTGTCTGCAGTTTTTTGCTCTCTCTCTCTCTCTCTCTCTCTCTCTCTCTCTCTCTCTCACACACACATTTCCTTTTGTCTTGTGGACTTGACGATTTGAGGTGCGAAACGGAGCGTGCTCGCGCTGAATGGTGGTGGGCACATGAGGAGGGAGGGCAAAGGGGAGAGCTGGGTGGCCGATGGTTAGCTCATGGATGCGCGGGGGGGTGACCGGTGGCTGTAGGAAAGCTGTGCCTTGGAATACAGACCGTGTCGACGCTGTCGCAGGTGAAATCGACGAGATGGGTGCCACGCAGAGCAACCTGGATGAGGATGAGGCTCGCGAGTTCTCGCGCAAGTCTGGCTGTACGTGCCTCGCGCCATGAATCGCCAAACTAGCACGCACCCGTCCTGCGGCACCGCGACAGACGCTTGCTGCTGCCGTGCATGAGTGCATGCCAATATGTGTGCGCGCATCTTCATTCTCGGGCCTTTGCGCAGTTTCTGTCATGCAGGTGCAACGCCTCTACAAGCGCTTTCAGCGTCTTGACCGCAGCGGCACTGGCCAAGTCTCGTACGTTGTTGGTCGGCTAGCCACGCCAGCACTCCTGCGATTCAATGTTTTGGTGCTAGCTTTTCCATCTTTGCTGGGGAGGTCGAGGTCGTGGGACTCGCCGTCTGGGCTTGCTTTGATCCAAGTCTCGTCACTCATGCAGGATGGCGTGGTGTGCGTGTGCGTGTGCGTATGCATTGGCAGATCTGAAGACTTGATGAGCATTCCAGAGCTGGCAATGAACCCACTCGTGGAGCGCATCATCGAATTGTTCGACCGCGAGTCAGTGCGCCTCACCTTCGTACCCCCGCTCCCACCCCTGCGCACGTGCTTGCCCTTCGCCGCTCACCTGCCTTGTCTCTGTGCTTGATAATTGGTGGCACCCCAAAGACAGGGAGGCTCGCACGATGTTGGCGTTTCCATCAATTTTGGCCAATTTTTGCAAACGCTCTCCATTTTCTTGCCCATCAAGGACTGCCCCCATGATGCCGACATGACCGATGAAGAGTTTGCCAAGTGGCAGCAGGAGCGACAGCGAGAGAAGCTACAATGTTTGTGGCGTTGCTCCAATGCTGACCTTTCGTGCCTACCGCGTGCCCTCTCTTTTCATTCACCCACACATGCATGGTTGATGGATGCTACTCCTCTTGATAGTTGTCTTTCACATTTACGATGTAGAGGGCGATGGCTACATCGATGGCCAAGAGCTCTTCACGGTTTGTTGGTCGGGCTCACAATGGCGGTGGACAGCCATGCACCTCGAGGGCCCGGTTGAAATAGCATGCTAATCACGCCGTGATACGTTGTGGCCATGACCATAGGTGCTGAAGATGATGGTGACTGATGGCATCAGCGATGAGCATTTGAGCTTTATTGTTGATCAAACCATTAAGGAAGCCGATGGCGACGACGATGGCAAGATCTCCTTCAACGAATTTGCCGAGGTTGGCCACTGCTCTTGAACGTCACCCAACGCTCTTGCACACATACGCGCGCCATATGCCCGTTATGCTGGGCGCCCTTTCTCACCTGTGCACGGCCTGGCTTTGCAGATTTTGAAGAAGACAGACATTGACAGCCGCATGACCATTCGTTTTTAAGATCCAACCGTCTCGTGTGGTATTGCTCTGCCGTGCAAAGCAAGCGTGCGAACGATGGATTGCAGATGCCATTTTATGTCTGTTGCTGTGCAGTCTCTGTCTCTGTCTCTGTGTCTGTGTCTGTGTCTGCGTGTGCTACCGTGTCAAGCATCCAGCTTTCGTCTCTGGTAGTCGGCGTGTGTTTTTGTCTTGGACTCTCGGCCTTGAAGAGGCGAGTGAGTTTGCGACCTATCCTTCCGTTTCTGTTTGTAGATTCTTGTCACGTAGTCGAACGCCAGCCTTTTTTTTTTTTTTTCCTTTTCCTTTTTTTCTTTTTAGACCTCACTTGAGCCTTTCATCGCGATCCTACTCTGTGCGGGGTGGCGTGCGGGGTGGCGTGCGGGGTGGCGTACTGGGCGGGCCCAAGCATGACAGTATCAGTGAGGCGTGTAGACACGGTCAAGGCACGGGCAATTTTCCACGAGTCATCGGGGACAAGGTCAATCTCAAAAAGCACAAGGAAACGGACCGGCGGTCATCTCGACGGTCATCTCGACGGTCATCTCGACGGTCATCTCGGCGGTCATCTCGGCGGTCATCTCGGCGGCGGTCGTAGTCGTCGCGACGGTCTCGGTAACGACGGTCATCACGGCGGTCGCGATACCGGCGGTCATCGCGGTCTCGTGACCGCCAGCGGCGCCGATCCTCTTCCTCAAAGCGGTCGCGGTCGCGACCGCGACCATATCGATCAGACGCGCGATCGCGCTCCCGTGACCTGGCCGTCACACGAATAAGATGATGTTAGCAAGGAGAAAGCAAACGCTTGGCTGGAGGTGTTAAATTTTAATTTTTTTTATGCCATTGTCCTACCGATCGTCTCGCCTCCTGTCGTCGCGCTCGCTGGTCTCGCGAGGTGCTGGCTGGTCGAATCGGCTGCGACGAGGCGCTTCCCCCCTGCGGCACACAAATGGTGTCACAGTCAACTGCTCGTGGGCTCTCAGAAGGGGAGGCAGCGACGTTTGCCTTATTGCTTCCCCCTCTTCCACGCAATGCCTGTAGTAGACCCAATTGCTACCCAGCAGTCGCATCGGGAGCATATGCAACTTACTTGGCACCATCCTCCTATATTCGACGATGCCACCGCATCCGCCAGGTGTCGAATGGCATGTGCATTGGCAAAAATACAATGGTGAGACACCACTTACGAGAAGAGTACCACTGCGCCAGCCTGCCCCATTTTTTACAGCCCCCCGCATATGGTAGCAATTTGCTGATGACCCGCCACTGACCCCAGGCACAAGTCCAGACTGTGAAAGAGATGCCGCGACCCCGCTTCGCAAGCGCTCGCGCTCCGCCTGCAGGACGACGGACAAGCCACGGCGGGAAGGTGACCCAGCACCATTTATGTGAGACCAAGGCAGGGCTAGGCGTGTTGGAAGACAAGTCGATACCCGTACCTCTTGGGCTTTGAGCTCCTGCTTCTTCTTTTCCAAAATGACTTCGGAAACGCCGCTGGCACTCTTTTGGGAGCTCAACAAATGCTGCCAGAGCTCACCCATGAAGATGCGCGCGTTTTTGGCGTGAAGAAATCCGGTGATGTTGAGCTGCATTCGCTTTCCATCCAGACCCTTCTCCTACGCTCCGTGCAGCAGGGGCAAGGTGGCAAGAGAGGTGAAACAGATGCCTCCCAGGGTTTGCCGGCGAGAGCCATGGGGCAAAGCATGAGCAAAAGTTCACCTACCACGGCATCCTCTAGTTGATTGGCAATGTAGTCGACCACGACATCGTCCTCGTAGCCCAGCAAGGCATTGATACGCTGATTGATCCAAGGTCGCAGCAGATTCAAGTTGACCTTTGTAATGTCCACCTGCGCCATTCATGGATCCAAGCAAGCAAGGTGGGGAGTCAATTGCCTCGCGTTGACTGGCTGGAGTAGAGGTGTGGGTTTGAGCTCTCCATGCCAAAAGTCCCAGGGTGCATTTGTGCAGGCTGGCCACTGCGGCCCTGAGGCGACACAGCACACGTACGGGCTCTTCGAGGACAGGCTCAAATTTCATTGATTTCATCAGCTTTTTCTCCTTGTTGGAGAAGCGGGCGTCTTGCTCGGCAGACGTGCCCTAACAAGCAAACGCCCCATTAACTTGCACGAGCTCAACAAACCGGCAAGACATGCAGTTGACCGTCGCCGAGGCGATCCGGGAATGCCAGCGCGAACGTGACCGTACTGCCCCCCTCACATGGACCAAAACCACAATGGCCCCCGGGCGAGCCCGAGTGAGACCGGGTGATTTTTGCCAGCACACCACTGCTTTGATTGACCCCCCCCCCCCCCCCCTTGCCCTCTCTCACCTTTCAATCAAAAAGAGAGAGAGAGAGACAGAGCCAGAGACAGAGCCAGAGACAGAGACAGAGCCAGAGACAGAGACAGAGCCAGAGACAGAGCCAGAGACAGAGACAGAGCCAGAGACAGAGACAGAGCCAGAGCCAGAGACAGAGATGAATTGGTTTGAGAGAGAGAGAGAGAGACACACACACACACACACACACATCCGGATGAGGAAGTATTTTACATCCACGACAGCATTGCAACAGCAACAACAACAACAGCCAGACAGTTTTTGTTGGATTTGACGCTGCGCACGCCAGGGCACGCTCGCTCCGACTTTGCGGTGCGGTGAATGAGATGAGCGTCGGAGGGCACTGATGGTGGTGGTGGTGGTGGTAGTGGTGGTAGTGGTGGGTTAGCATTGATGATTGAACAGAATGAGGACCGGTGGCGGGCTGGGTCGTACAGATACGGGGTGCTGCGCCCGCTTGTCATGCGCCATCGCCCCTTGATCGCCATCATGGGGAAACCCAATGCTAGCTCCAAGCTGTTCGTGGTATCGCTGCTGGTCACATGTTTTCTCACGGATCCAGGATTGGGTCTCAATGTATGTGAGGCAGAACGCCTGCTGGCGGCGGATCGCACGTTTGCCCTATCGCGACCCTACCTCTACAACTTGAAGATTCTTGGCAACGCCGAATGTCCCGTGTTTGACCTGAGATCGCCGGGACGGCAATTTTTCCTTGATTCCAACTATGAAGTCGATGGCTTCCAATTCAACATGAATCGCCATTCCCTGGCCGTGTGGAATGACCCGGTCCTTGATCTTTTGGATGTGCCCGAGGAGTCCACAATGTCCACAATGTCGCTCAGCGCCCGCCTGAACCCCAATGCCAGCATACCCGCCTTTGCGTTGAACATCTCCTGCAGCCGAGCAGACCACCCTTCTTTCAGCATGCAGTCCGACTGCCCTTTTACACTCGAGGATCTCGAGCCACCCGCGCTTGAGGGCCACCATTTTCGACCCTTGATCTTAGCTTTCGAATGGGTGCGGCCTTTGCCGCCCTTGAATGCTCGCGGCCTCTTTCTCTTCGCCGATGTCCTTGCCGTGGATGAAGAAGCGAGTTCTGCTTTGACTTGCTACGCCAATCTTCGCGTTCAGACCTTGTCTGGGTCGCAAGCCTTTACCATGGTTCAAATTTCTGACAACATTAGCTCAAATGCCTACTTCAACATCGACGGCGGCGGCCGCCCAGTCTTGCTGCACCGTATCCGTTTAGCCTTCACTCTCCCCATGACTCGCGGCAATATCTCTATCGACGTGCGCCAGTTGACCTGCCGTGACCTGAGCAACGGCTCCGAAACCCGCTCCAATCTGCAAGGGATCACCATCGCAGCCTCGACGCTCCCTTCCTCGGGGTTTGGTATCACGCAAGTTGGCGCTTATCTCCAGAGACTCGACGACGGCCATGTCTGGGCTCGCATCCACGCTGCAGATGAGGGTGCAGGCGTGCGCACTTGTAGAGTCAACTTCTTTTATCAGGATCACTCGGTCAACCCTCCCTCCTCTGGCCCAGCGCACGAAGCTGACATGCACATCCTCAGTCCGGCCACTGATAATATCTGGGGCAAGATGATGTACAGAAGCGGGACTTGGATCAATTGGACGGGTGTCCACCTCCAAAGTATCATCTGCTACAATGGAAACGATCACCCAGTTCTTGTGTCCGTTCGGCAAACATGGATCTTCAATGAGAGCTTTGTGGATATGGCTCCCCCGGTCATCAATGGTGCTCAGCTCCCAGCATCGCCCGTGGCTCGTTTTGGGGAGAGCACCCTGATATCGCTGGACATCAATGTCACCGACGACACGTCTGGCATAGCCAATTGCACCGCTCTGCTTCTGTCCAATGATGCACAGTGCGACAGCCCTCACTGCAGCGTGCGCCCTACGGGTCATCATGTGAGTGGGGACATTTGGTCTCTCCACTTCAAGGTGGAAACTCAGCTCATTGGCATGGGCATGCTCGTTCAAGATATCACCTGTTGGGACCTTGCCGGCAACCAGGTTGGTTTGACCAAGTTCTGGCCAAATGCAGAGCAGGCAATCACACCCAAGGGCGTGTGTCTGCCCGCTAGCGTCGTGTCGCCCTTTGCAGCTTGAGGTTAAACTCACCCCTTTGGATTTTCATGATACTTTTGTCCTTCTTCTTCTTCTTCTTGTCTGTACTTAGGCAGTGTGGACCGAACCAGTCTCGGTGATGTTTTCAGCCGTCGTCACACCCGCTCCCTCTTATCTCACCGACTTTCACATTGCTGAACCCATCCTCACGATCACGAATAACAAAGCAGCGGTTTCTGTTCAGGTGCGAATGATCCTGCATCGGCGATCCCTGTGGCTCCAAAGGCAATGCTCTCTCTGTCTCATCTCGTT